ATATAGTGTTCAAATAACACGAAAGCATTGCCACGGTTGAGTTAACTGAATCATTTAAACGATAGTGACCCGTTGCAATCGTTTACTCTTTCTTCCCTGTGGTGATGCCGCATCGAATATGTGTTACCACCAGGGATGTCTGATTGTGTTATGCCATCGTTCTAACATGTTGTATACGCATTGCTCATTGCCGTCTACAAGTGGTATCTGTTATCTGTATGTATATTCTGTTCAGTCCCGTTGACCAGCGTGTAGTCGTATGTATAGACACGAAGGCGCGACTATACGGAGCCAGCCGAGTCATATGGTAAATCTTTGTGCCCCCTCCCTTAGCCTGTTTTCAGCGCCTCTTCTATTCTGATTTCCCCACTTGGATAAACTAGACTAGATGACTGTGTTCCGCTGACGAGCCGGCTGGCTTCGTGGACGTTTGGTTACTTGATTTTAGAAATGAATGAATAAAACGTTACCTATTAGAGTTTCTCTTGCTGCATAGTTCTCTATTTCTTATTGAGAGCTTATTGGCCGTTATTCAGTGGAATACTGCAAGCAACGAAATACGGTGGGACCAAGGCTTTTCCCGTAATTCCCGTAAAAAGTTCCCGTAATTACAGACGTGGAGGGCATAGCCGAGGAACTCCGGGTTTGGTTAGGGTCGACCGTACAGCTCCGAAGGCAACGCAGTAAGAGCTAACCGTAATTAATGAGAGGTGTGTCCTGCATTAATCGTGTGAAGGATAAAAAAAGAAGGCCTAGAACTGTCAGGTGACTGTAAAATGATTTAGTTAAATTAATGGTCTAGCGTAGTCGATGAGAACTTTGTAGAGCGTTCTGCCATGCGGCAGCTGACATGTCAATAGTATAAATCGAAATAATATATATCTGCAGTTTTTGACGTTATATAACTAGCTTTGAGTTATGGAACCACAAAGGTTAGTTCATCACAGATAAAGGTTTGTAACAATCTAGTGATGTTTGGTGACGAAAGTAAAATGGTATTATAGAAAAATGAAGCTTCACTATAGTCACTGTTGCTCCTAAACGGAAATAGCTTAATAATTTCCAGAATCTGCGACTCAAGTAATAACGGTATCGCTTCAAAGTCTTTTGTAATTAGATATTTAACGTTTGTAACGAAATTGAGAGGTATCAGTAATGCGCAAAAGAGCATCACCTAAAGATTTTTTACGGAAGTTCGTATTAATTAACTACTAATAATTGAATGAGCCACTCACGTTAGGGTAGAAAGCCAGCATTTTTTCATGTTGTTTTCTATCGCGACCTGTATTTATGACATTACGCGCTCTTGTGCTCCTTTACTCCTCGATAATGACACTACTGATATTAATTATAATTACTTATTATTTGATCTTACCGATACTCAGGCGCCGGTTTACATTATTCGGAAGGGAGTCTGCAAGAACATTTTTCTTACCCTTTTTGCCTTCCAATCTAAATGATAAGAAAGCACATTCACTAACAACGGTGTTACGAGCGATTTTAAATACTGCGTTTATTGCTATTTATGACCCCATCAATCGCTGCTCGAAGCGATCGAAGGTGCATAGGAAGTCATTGAAGTGTAGAGTCTAGCAAAAGCAATTTTAATTAATTTAGAGGCGGAATTATATCTTTACGAGGTAGATTTTTTTTCGGATCGCGTCAGTTGAGATATCTCGTCGAAGCTCTGTCCAATTGTCAGGCGAGATTCCATGCCCCGACCGGCGATTGGCTAGGTTTGTCTCAACTATAACGAGCAACGATGTTGAAGACAAGCGGTTTTGACACCTGTGCATGTCCAGGCAGATAAAATTCTCTTACGGTGTATTCCCTAGTTAGTAGTGAATCCTGACAGAGTTGTCAATCTTGTGCGTTTCTGGGGCAGACTTTACTAAGGTAACTGCTAATATTATAATAAGAATCGACCGATGTTGCGCTGTTTCCGTAGCTATTTTTAGAAAGCTAAAAATTATCTCTGCACTTGTTTTACTGATACTCGACAAGGCCAGTGCTTAAAACGAATTTCTGTTGGCACCTGTGTATCACAAAGCAATCTCTCTCTGTGTAGAAACTAATGTATTTAATTGTATTCTGAAACTACTTAACAGACGCCTATGGTTTAATAGATTGTTAGAACAAAATAAGCGACGTTTGCTCATGCGAATCCTTTGGCTCTATTGAGGTATTAACGGGCTACAGTTTTGCTTGGCGCTACTCCCGTAGAACGTCACGCTTGAAGCGGCACAATTTTCATTTCAGAATCGTCTGTGTCCGTCAAGCAACGCTACTACTACGTCCCACTTTTGTTATGGCCATAGACAAATGCTGCCAAAGGGACACAGGCAATATTATTCGCCTGAGTCATCGGACAGCCGACTGGAGTGAGCCACTCACAGCGAGAGTCTTTCCGTACAGTTGCGAAGAGCTAACCAACATACATGGCTGTTGTGGAAGTATCGCAAAAACAAACATACTTAGAGTTATTCGTTTGTATTTTATAATTCGGAGATGAGACTTTGTTCCGTGTCAACATGTGACGGGTGTTATTTTTCTAGAATTTGCAAGTACACTTTGATTTACTTGCAAAGGACGTAAAGACCTATACAGCATGAGAGGAAAAACATTAACTGTGGCGTAATACTGCTTCCCTTAAACAACGAGTTTTGTATACCAGAAGAATTTACTATTTCGTAATATATATATATTTTTTTTAATGAGTTGTGCTTTTTTTTGCGCCTATTTCATGAGCTCAAATCATATACGATACCATTAGCTGTGTTTTTCATTATGACGCAATTCGAACGACGTTTTACCGCCGTTCGTAGCTGCTTAGGAAAACAAAGTGACATTCGCCAAAATTTTCGAAACTGGTCCGCGTAGCATAAGCGAAATCAGCAAAGATAATTTTCGGTTCCCTTCTTCTATACACCGATGGGAAAATTCGTGTACCGATTACAATAACAAAGGCAATGACACCTTGGGATCGGTTCCAGCTGGATTATTTATTTCTACATATGACATCTGTTGACTTTACGTCGCTTTCTAGTTAAAATAGAATAGAGCGTTACTTTATTCAAGCAATTCTTCTTGAATAGATCAGATTAAAAGATGTTTCAAATATAGCTTCAAGTAATTATGTCTGGAAAACTCGCCCAGTATGACTTGTACTTGTGTCTGCAGTTGTCTGACTCAACTTTATTAAATCGCATTGCGCATTTGAATTTATGTGACTGTAAGGTGATTTGGCTATTTTTTTTCTTTATTTGCAATGTTTATGCAACGCTGTGTACGCACAATTAGACAACATCTAACCTTACTTAAACCGGATGTGGGCTTCGGCCCCGATGATTGGATCTAGATTGGCTGAGACCATTACCGCCAACGAATTCTCTCTTATACTTCAATCCATGCCGGCCTGGGTTTCCTTTCAATAGTATTACAATATAGGCTGAAAGGAGGAAGTGGTATGTGCCATCGATTCAACAAGTTGGGGTTACCGTAGTTGGGTTCTCTACCACGTGGGTGGGAAACCAGGTGTCTGACGGAAAATAGACATGCCGGCCCGCTTTCTTTGTCACCTCTCAGTTTCTTCCTCTTATTCACTGAATCTACCCAAGTTTTTTTTTTATTGTTAAAACCGACTCTTCTTGTTAAAAATGCTGTAAGCCAGAATTTTGTTTTGCCCCCGTTGCTCCCTGAACCCAAATACATGCTTTTCAAAATTCCTAATTCCTGTAGATACCGCTCTTTTGATTTTAAAGTTGGTGGTCTTTTCTTTGGCCGTGTTGCAGGCACCTTACTGTGCTATAGTGTGTACCTTGTCATCTCAGTCGCAGCAGACACACAGATCTTAAACAGCCCTGTCCACCTGGTGCACGCAGAATTGGAAGTCCCCGTACCTTCTGAAGGACTAGGCAAGATGGAAGACAAGTTTATCTCCTGCTCGTTCAATCCGGTTCATAATTGCGAAAATGTTTTCTGACCTTAAGGCCTGAAGCTTCACGTGGGTGGTGTATTACTCCGCTTGTTAAGCACTTATAGTCTTTTGCTTCGCTTACTCTTCCGGATTTCTCCAGCTCCGTCTCCGCCTGTCTGTCTTATGTCTTCCGGAAATGAAGGGTGCCAGCAACAAGATTGCGTCTGTACTGACAGTTCTGTTTGCTAGCGTCATTTTAAAAGCTCAAGTTCGTTGAACTTTGCGAAGTTGGCCTTGATACCTTATGTAGAAGATCATGGTCTTGCCTAAATCGCCTTTTCAAAAAGAGCAATGGGCTCCCCTACCAACAATAACTAGTTCTTTTTTTTGAATCCGCCATTAGTTTCTTGATCTCGATTGATACCTTTATGGCTTTAGCATCCGGTAGCCGGTGGCGGATGCTCCCTGTTGTTGGGTCCGGGTGAACTTTTAGGTAACTGGTTGATATTACCACTCCTATTTGCTTGCTCACCATCCAGTGCAAGAGATATTTAAGCGTAACTTCTTTCCTATAAGGAGCACTGCTCCTAACTTAGCCGGGGACGGCCTCAGTTTATTATCGTCCATCTGCAGAAAGACCATGAGCAATGTTTCACCTGCCCTACACTCCAGTTCGCCCGATTCTTTTTCAGTGACCGCAAGATCGCTGGCTTATGCTAGAAATTTAACCCTTAGGGGCAGGCTTTCTAGTCAAAGAACGTCATTGTATGCAAAATTGCACAGCAGAAAACAAAGTATGGAATCTAAAGAGAATCCCGAAGTCATAAGAAATGTCTCCTGGTTATGACACAACGCTTTTAAAGATATGCAGAAGTTATGTTAATGAGATGCTCTGAGGCAATACCTGTTCGCCATCGTTCTCCATCAAAATCTGTGGAATTCATTATTAACATCCAATATCGTTTTCAAAAGACTTTTTTCATGTGTAGAGATTTTGTCTTCCGTAGCAGTCGCTTGCAGTAAGCACATAACGATTTGTCCAAAGCTGAAAATGTAATATTGGGAACCGAAGAGCATACCGTTTTTCTCAGCAAAGTCCAAGAACCTCATTTTTAGGATTGCTTTTGAATAATGATCTGAAAAAGCACATGTAATTGTGGGCCTCTCTACCCTGCGGAATAAAGACTACCAGACCTTTTTCCACGTGGTCGGGAAAGCACCAGATCAAAGGACATTCGTGAAGACCTTGGCAACCTTTTGAAGGCTATCTTTGTTGCCGTCGGTGATACCTCGTCCTTCCAAAAATCTTTTTTAACTTAGAGCGTGTTCCTGCGCCTTGGATCTCATCTATCGTAATTTCAGGGATCTCTTCCGTTTGGCTGATATCGTACTCCGTTTTATCGAAGAGACTGCGTAGCGAGAAGTTTTCTAACGGTATCCTCCTTTTCTTTGTCCGGTATATCCCTTCTTGTGACTTTTGTTTCACCTCTTGTCATTTTGTATGCTCCACACTTAAAGTCATCTTATCTCCGTTCCAAAGAATTATTCCAGCATTGCTCTTTACTTTTCAGGATATCTGTCCCAGTATGACTTGGACTCATCTATGGTCCAAGACTACTGCAATGAACTACTGCTTTCAGTCGTTTGGTTTGTGGATTAGCTCCACGACACCTAAGCCGTCCTTCATCTGTCGTTTGGTTCAGGCAGTATTTTGGTGTTATATCATTCTTATACAGTGGCGCTTTTGTATGCATCTTCCAGCAAAGCCTACAGACCGCCTGCGTCTATTGGATGTCTGCTCTATTCAATGTGATAACGAATCACTCATGGTGTAGTTGTTATACCTTCGAACTTCATTTTCAAGTTGATCATGTTCGAGTTGATTATGACCATGTCATGCGCTGCCATCCACTCCGCCAGAGCGCTATCTTTGCAGTCGTTTCGACGACTCCTGTACATCCAAAGCTACATTGAAATTTTCCGTGGCCATGCAAAATTTCTCCTCCAAGTTTGCAAATAGCTCTGTTACCCCGTCTACGAGATCGTTGAGGTCTCGCAGCAACCCGTTATGAAACAGGAGTTCAAGACCCTCTCCCCTTCCCCAATGGCGCTTATGAGAAGTGTTGGCCGTCTCCTCTGCTAGTGATGCCATTGTTCCTATAAGCTATACGCGTGGTCGCATTAACGCCGCTAATCCAATAGAAGTTATCGCACAACAGAGTCAACTCTCTTATCCCCCTATCCAGGGAAAGTGTAGACTTGCTTGCTGCTAATGCAGTTCTCTTGAACAGCCTTAAACATTAAAGGTAGTCCGGGTCCTCCTAACTTGTTTTTTAAACAGAACAGTTACGACCGATGTATCTATCGTAAGCAAAACGTTGAGCTAAATAAGTGAACTTCGCACTCTCAATGTAAATATAAATGCCAAAGTAAACACGCCAAAAGTCGATACATTTCCGATTTTGCAAGTACCGTATATTTAAACGTTTTTCTTCCTTCCATAATACAGAAGCCAAGTAGGCTTGTCCACGTAAACCTTAAAACCAGTCGGAGGTTACAACGATTACTGTCGAGCCGTCGTGGCAACCACCCACTCAGAAAGTCACGACAACTTTTGCTTGTCGGCTGTCTGACTGCTACGCGCGTCTTTGAGAACAGGAAATTTAGGTAGCATATGTTACGATACGTCAAATGGCGTCTATATTTGGCTTGATGTTGGCGCTACGAACTTCGGTGAAGGATCTTCGGACCTGTGATGACTCCACCGCTTATGAAACACCATGATCTAGATCCGTCGCGTTCAATAAACGTCTTTAAGCCAACTTCTTAGAGCTACCAGCTTATCGAGATTTAATCTTCTGAAGGTTTTCGGGGCTATTGATTTTTTTCTGGTATGACAGCTGAAACGGCGCATAATAGTTTTCCCTGAACGACTAACTATGTTTTGCATAGACCATAGATAATGTTACGCGATCTCGAATAGCCTAAAAGCAATGAATATCAGCCCAAAATTTTGAATACGCACATGAAATGAACCGAACGAATATAGATCTTAAAACCATGGATTTTCAATAATACTTTCCGGAACGGAATAAAATTATTCTTTCAAAAGTAAAGGTAAAATCAAAGTTGATTTCACAGCGGCTGAATTACTGTGGCACGTTGTTATGGGTATATTATCGTTATCTACATCTAAACGTGCTAATTTCGTCTAAGTTAGGTTTAAAGTTGGCATCTTTGTGATGGCACAGTACTAGCATGTTTGTCTACTAAATGTAAGGACCCGTGCTAATTTGATAATGAAAACTAGGCGTAGAACAACTACGTTTCGTGCTTATTAAAGCTACTTATTTAAAGTGGTGCATCGTAAGAGCAGCACCAAACACAAAGCTTGAAACATCTAGTATTTTTTATGTTTAAGTGAATATGCTAAAGCTAGGTTAAAAATGTTTCCATAAAGACGGGATTCTCTGTCGAAGAGCATCGTGTACGTCATGATTGTTCCTATTTTCAGGGTGAAGGATGTTCCTCTTCTCCGGCGACTGTCGATTGAAGCTGGCGGCCTTCTTGAGGACGCGTTAAGGGAGGATGCATGGCCAATTCTGCTCGGTATCGATCATTCGACTACGACTTGCCGCAACAGCAAACCTACAAGACAGCAACTCAAGTCAACGCCCTTTCATGAGCAGGTTCGATAGGTTTTTGTTCTCCAAATATATATTATGAAAAGTTCTATATATATTATTACTCAAATTGCATTTGAAGACATTCTATAAGCTAATCAAGCACTACCTGTAAACAAGGATATAGTTTGAAGTCTTTGTAAAAATCCCCTCTTTTTGACACTTATGGTTAGATTCTTAGAAGAACTTCTTCGTTCTGATATATCCCACGACCGGATCAACCGTTTATAACACCAACAAGTTTACTCAGTCTGTGTTCTCCGGCCTCCCTTGTATCACGGTTTTTAATCAATCCCTCAGAGGGCAAAGTTCTATGAGATACTTCCTATTAGCAATCCGTAATATTTTTTTAATTCTTTTTTTTATTTATTTTATTAATTTTAATTAAACGCATATCAGTACTAGTTTAAACGAGTTCCACTTATTCTTATCATTCAACTTATTCAGCACAAAGCTTCGCACTGCCTTTGACGTAGCGCAATTACGTGTCAGTCACGTATGTTTTAGCTATATGTTTTGCAATAACGAGTAATAGAGTTAGTGTCGAAAAGATCGACAAGAATGATTTCGCGTTCTGGCCGGAGATAAACGAGAATAGTGAAAACCAAGAAAGGTCCAAAAACGGTGGAGATAAGTTAATAAAGCTTTAATGAAAATGTTACGGTGTCTTTGCATATAGATGATTGTGCTCGTAATCTATTTAGCTACTCAAACAAATATAGAGAAAACGAAAAGTTTCGATATCAGGGACGGTAGTTCAGGCAAAGTTCCTTGGATATTAACCAGCCGGTAAACAGCACATCCAGCTGTTGTTTGTTATTTGCATTGTTCTTAAGGGGACGCATATTTTAAAGAGTTTAGTTTTTGGATTTGACATCTGAGAAAAATAGCTGTAGTGCATTACATACATTTACGTACCTAGCCAAGGAACCTGTCTTAAAAATACTTGCGGTTATCTTACATGCAGTGGTAATTTTGTTAATTCATTAAATTAAATTAAAAAAAAAGCGCATAATAATTCAAAATGCCCAATTAACGATATCTACGACAACTCATTCAACATTAATTAAATCTAGAATTCGTCTGAAGAACGCTTCTCAGTGACTGGCCGTAATCGACAAGTGGCTCCCTCCATAAGTGGCGCCGTAGCAACCAGCCATGCATAAACTACGAGCTGACAGATCAAACATATATATACTAGGTTAACGTCTAACCATTGAGCAGGTTTGAGTTTGAATGTTGCATTCAATCCCTAATCGACCGCCTTAATAGAATCTTCCCAATACTCGCTCAATGGCCTCGTTTCTCCACACTGCCGAACAATTCAACATTTGTTGAATTCTCACACTACACCCTTTCAAATCCATTTCATTTTTAGTGTCCCACTTTCCCCGACGATGGCTGTTGCAGCGAATGTTAAAATGGTCGAACTCTACGGGTTATGTTGCATTGCTTAAATCAAGGCTAGCTTGGATTATGCTATTGCGTAGAACTTCGAAGAGATCGCCAATGACTCGAGTTCGTAAGAGAAGGCGGCGTCCCAATAGTGAACTAAATGTCTCGTAGGGCAACGTTTAAAAATGCTGTTGCCTCGATTATATATAGAACTCATACATACGCCCGCATAATTCGTGCTCTAAACATTACCAGAAAAGACGCCCGATCCATATCACTTCACGCTTCTTTGATGACGGCTCAATCAACGCAGTTCTTCTGCAGCGGTATATATCTGACTGTAGATGTACCATAGAGCGCGTGCTGCAGGTTAGTAGGCGTGGACGGGTCGACTATAATGGAGCACTGGGTCATTCATGCTGCGATAGCAGTTCCTTCATTATCGGGCCTGCATAGCGTTGTTGACTCTTGCATGGTGTGCCATGCTTTACATCACTGCCCGCTCTGGCAGCATAGCAAGTAGCTGAACTGTAGTGGCGTATATATCACATTGTGACTGTTTTTCAATATTTACGAACTTTATTCGTGTGCTTGGCAATATATGGGGTACTGCCGATCGAACGCATATTTCATAGACGCCACTGTACCATAAAGCGCTTTGAGTAAGGGTGCTCTTCTCGGATTGACACCAGATTGGTTTTTTTGCAGCACTGCTCGCGTGCGTAAGGTGCGCTCATGCATCGAGCATTTAAGTATGGAAGTTGTGCTAAAGGGCTAATATTAACCGGCTGTCCAATGTATGTTAATGATATGATAAGGTCCCATCGTTAGAGCCGCTATCAGAAGTTTGCCCCTGGGGAACTTGGTCAGCATGTACTCTTGACAATGAGTGGTGCAAGTTTATCTTGGAGTCGGGTAAAATGATCTCATAAAATGGGAGCAAAAAGGAAGGACAAAATAGCTTTTATGTTGCTATTATGTTTGTCGCAGTTCTACTAGTTTCAAGTTCCTGTGGATCGTACTATACTTTCTCGCTAATTACATATTATGTAATTCTCACTGCATTAATTAAAGTTTTTTGCTAACACTCCAATTATAGTTTTATTAAAGCAGTTGAAAAAGAGAGGCAAACGTACAAGAAAAATTAATATCGCAAGCGTGTCAACAATGAGATGATGCTACAACCACTATTAAGTATACTACACAAAAATTTATTTCAAGTGGAATCATTTTGTACTAGTCACGCTTAGAGCCATAGCGGAACGAATAAATGTTGTTGCCGGACAAATGCTAGGTAATACGCTGGCAGTACCTAGTAAAAGGCTGTGGTTCCTCTATGGCCTGCATCTGTTATCGATGTTCCGGTGTTTCATTTATTCATTCAGTCTACAGCAGACTACAACAGGTCTACAACAGATAATTTTGCTGGTAAGCTTATGTGAAGAGACAGGGTGGCCAGACTATGCAGATGTGACAGCACAACAGGAAGATAAAAATTATGAGGACCTTAGGAAAGCTAGTTCTACTTTTCTATCTAGGACCACAAATGATGCTCTACCTTGACAATTTACTCGTGGTACTTTGGGTACGTGGTTTGTTACGATTGAAAGTTTTCTATTGCATAATATCATACATAAGTACACAATAATATAATAGCCCTCGGTCAGCGAACTTCGGTCAGAGAAAAACAGTACCTCACATTATATGGAACAGCTGCTATAGGGGGCAAAACTAAGATTTTAGCATTTATGAGCCAAATTTTAATAAGAGCATGGCTTAAGCCAGCTGATTCGCAGCAGGAAACGCCATAGCTTTTTGCAGAACCCCAAAATTTGCAGGGACACGGATTCATTAGGGCTTCAGTGAACTAAGCTTAGACCGCCATATACTGATTGTCCAGTAACGCTAATCCAGAACAGCTTATGTAACCGAAGCTTGCACAATGCGTTCTTTGGAGTGGCATAGCACACGCTGTACTAAAAGCTCAACTTTGCCTCGCTCTTCTTGCTATAAAGTTTTCAATTTAACTTCAATTTGGTGAAATAAAAGCATCATCATTTTTTCATCATAAAAACTGACATTGAAAATGATTAAGTTTTCAAGTAACTAACCGATTTCAAACCATTGTTTTTACATCGTCAAATCTTTGTTTTAAATAGTTTCTAGATCTTCATAAACGTGTTTGCATGTAGTTTCCATAATTCACATAGATCGTCGCTGGCGCAACTTGAAACAGGGACTTTTAATGTTTTTCATCCAGGTGCTTAGCCGTCTATGTATAGCGTTGCTGAGCCTGTATCTGTACCATACCTGCCGATTAAGCGGCACGACTCGTGTAAAATAGTCACTATTATTCTGGATATCCTATACATCACCGTGAATGCCTACAGTTACGTGCCTCTTGGCGCACTTACAATCGATGGTATTTTATTAGACTATTATGAAATTTAGTTTTTTATCTAAAACGTCTATGTTAAATTATTAGTACAACCGGAAGTTCTACACTGCCTGCTTTCTGTTTCCACTGTAATACCTTTATCACAAAGAAGGCGTCCTTACAACAATCTGCTGAAACCAAACCTATATAATAATAATATATTTGTTATTAAATTTGCACGTATAAGATCTCATCGTTTTGTATGTGCCATTAGGAACTGAAACTGAGAACCCTACGGTTTCAACGACCTGGAGTAGCTCCAAAGGTAGAGCCTACTTCTTTAGCCATTCCGTTGAACAAGCTGAGAGTGAGCAGTCCATCGTTTATGAGCGCTACTCCCTATTCCCACGACGGCTGGCACCGGAAGCTTGAAAACAGAACGCACAAATTCAAAACTCATCGCCGCTGTTACTTAGATCGAATTGTAGATCGCATAATGATTATTTGTTCCAAATAGGGCAGTGAATTTAACAGCGACAAAGGATCCACGCACTATTTAACCAACCTGTGGCAGAATGGAATGGTTGTCCCTTTTACAATGGTCGTCATAGCAGTCTATCGGTTATCCTAACACGAGCCATCGTATGCAGAACAGAAGTATCCGACAGTAGAGATTGCAGGATCTTAGGAGTGTACCATTTGGCCATAGGCGAACGAGACTGATTTATACGGACCAAGGTAGACGATCCGTCAATGGTGTTCAGGTTACGCTTCGGGCACATGGCCTTACCATTACATTATTGCCAGTAGGGCCTGTTGTCGGCCTGCCAGGTCTCACAGTTGATTGGATACTCATCTAATCCTGGTAACTAAGGCCCTCTAGAGCCATAACTACAAACAAGCTCTTCACTACAACGGAGGTACTTGGCAATAATCTCCTAACAATCGCTTATCCTTGCGAAGCACAGTAGAATAAATGTTAATACTTGAATGGTTTTGTCAAAAATATAATACGTTCTGTAATAAGTATAAAAGTAGAACACGTGCCTTTGATAACGCAGAAGATATTGTGAAAAAAAAACACTTAGCGTTACAGCAAAAATGATTAAAAAAATGTGCAAATACAACCTCCACCATAACGAACAGTAATAATAATGAGAATATTTATTGCTGTTTGGGTAAAATCAGGTTGTAAGCGAAAGCCCAAAAAACAAAAGATTCTGTTAATCGCCCTCTGTAGATGATGCCCATGTTATCTGAGATTTTCTCCAGTAGCGATTAAAGAACCAGCCGCGTTAGTTATTTGGAATCAACAGTACCAAAGGAATATTAGAAAAAATCCGTTTATATTATACGTTGTTAAAAACTAAGTGAATTTAATAAATTATCATATCCTAGGTTTCGATGGTATATTTATTTTATATACACGTTTAATCTACGCAGTTGTTTAACATCACACCCTGTTCTTTGTGCTGCACCATCGACGAGACGAATTCAGTGTACCAACTTAGTTAACCTTATTTTATAAACGATATTTGTAAGTCTAAATATCGGAGAGATTTGCCATTACCGCCAGCTGTTGAGAATATGACCACAGGTTCGTTGCCCTCAGCTTCTGTCCATTGACCTGTTTTTTCCTTTCCCGCCTCGTTATACCAAGGCACGCGGTTTAACAATAACAGCACAAATAAATAGATACTCGTTGTTTACAACAAGAAGCACCTAAAATAGGGAAAAGGGTATTAATGACAATATGTAAGTAAACAATTACTCTAGCGTGTTCAACTGCCTTATTGCGATCGACAATAGATTCAGTCTTACTATTACCTTTTCGTACTATTATAAAACGAAAGAACAAGAGCTGCAATCTGCTTATACTGTGACATTTTATATGGCCCGAGGGGGCAATGTCTGCTAAATTTAGGTCGCACGTTCTAACAAAAAAGTTGCTGAAAAGACAGCTTTGTATAAAAGGGGTTATATATAGATGGATCCATTGAATCGACGGCAAATTACCTTCATCTGAGGTCGTCATCAGGTTACTGGACATGTGACTTGAAAGGGCGGGAGAAAAAGGGCGATTCGGATGGATGAAATGCACAAACACAAATATCTACTATACAGAAACCTATCTGTTAGTTCAAAACATGTCTGGCGTGTGCTGTCATAGCTTTTTATTCGCATAAAGCTGGATTCGGGAACCCAATCCAATTGGCAGGACATTGCAAACCTTGTTTTTACTTGTTTTTAAGCCACAAGGGTCTTACTGATATCTCCTGATATGGATCATCCAGACTGATAAGTTATTGAATGACAAAGGCTATAGAGTTTGCTCAGAGCGTATAATTGGGACACCGAGATTTGAAGAACATAAAATGTAGGACATTTCACTTTAATTTGGGTTACAAAAAGTTATGCTTCGAGCAAAGCTGCCTATATATGTAAAGAAAACATAGGCGAAGAGATAGACCCAATGGCGTTTAATCGTTTAAAGTAGAAAGTGAATGAATTCATTATGAGTCAGTTACAGATAATGAGGTTGCACTTGTTATGCCAACGACTTTATCAATAAACCTTTAATTTTAATTATATGTTCGGATGTGTATTTGTCCTCATCAAAGGTTGTACGAGATGTAAATCGAACGATTCGCCGCTTTCCGCCTTCGATTCCACGAAAGATGAGGCTTAGCCTTCAGGAAAGCCTGCTTGCAGTGATCTCCCGTGTCCTCACGGCCATTCCAGAACTGCATTACTACCAAGGGTATCACGACATTTGCGTAACAGTTCTTCTTGTGGTCAATGGTATGTCAAATAGAAAGGATAGAAATTTCGTACATGTAAGCTCTAATTGCATTATGAAAAAAATGTTTTGAAAATTAATCTCATTTGGAACCTGATGAGCCTTGCTTGATCTGCCCAGTTATCTATTCTGTTCTATATTTTATTTCGTCATTATCTATATCAGCTAATACCAAAGTGCAAAACATAAAAGCAACGGTAGAAGCCTTGCAAGGATAAACTTCAGTTACTCCTAAAATGCTTGAAAATTTTGTACTTACCTTATCTTAGCTATGGAAATATAACTCACTTTGATATTGCATGACACCTCTTTTAATTGTACAGTATTTTTTCGACTCTTTAGGCAACGAAGAGGCTGCCTTCAGGATCATGGAGCATCTGTCTCAAACAAAGTTACGCGCGTTTATGGAATCGTCGATAAATGGAACCACTCGCCAATTGGGTATTATCTACCCCTTATTGGGTGCCGTCAACCCTTCACTACGAAGATTTCTCGAAAACACCAGCTGCGGTATGTGCTGGATTAATTAGTTTGAAGATTATCTATTTTTCTATGCCAAATAGAACGATATTTGTAAAATAGCCGTAATCGATGTTTGCCATCATTTGCAAAAATCCTTCTTTTATACATATTCAGCGAAGTCACGCTAGTCTGAAGCACTTAGATTCACAGCTGTTGCTATAAATTAATCTGCTGCTCTTTTCTATTATTAGGAGTTGTATTTTTGCTGCCATGGTGTCTGACATGGTACGGTCACGAACTTAGCCATTATCCAACATTAACAAGATTGTTTGACCTGTTTATGTCCTCGGTCGACCTAATGCCTGTATACCTAGCAGCGGCTATCGTTCTGCCTCATCAAGAAAAATTGCTCAAACAGGTAGACTGAAATTCAGCTATCGCCCTTAGGTGACACAGCTTTATTATAACACAGAAGAACGTTAAAAGACAAGCGTTCATTTTGGCCATATTTACTCTACCAACTTATCTTCCTGCTGATATTCCGCACGAAAACGTTGATTCTACCTAAAACGGTCTGAGGAATTGAATACTACTGCACGAACTTCATACGCATTGTAATGTCCTCTGTCGCCTGTATACAATATTCCTTATAGGCTACAATAGTCTGGGCTTAATTACGTGTTAGCGTGACCAACGGGACATCTTATTATACCCTTTACTAGCACGCCACTAACCCAACCAACGTGGTCGATACTGCGCAAATCAAAATGAGAAAACCTTTTTTACACATCCCGTTGTTGTTGTGCTAATATTATTGCTGATATTATCGTTATTGCAATTGTATAGGAATGCTCGTTGGCGAACGTTCATGCCTATTTGGGTCAGGTGTTACCACTGCTACAGTGCTCGCGTGGCGACATGGAAGACCGAGTAGTGTTTGCAAAAGATCTCCTGCGGCGATTTCCACCAGCAAGGTAAACAAAAATAACCGCACTTCTTTTGTTGGTAAAGCTAGAAAAAGATTTTTAAAAATAGGAAGCTATTTTCTAAAAACCGAAACTATTTGCATCAGTTACATTTTTTAAAACACTACGAAAGAAATAAAAACAATATTTTTCAAAGGTAAATACGCTAAGTAACTTTTAACAATAGTATAAAGGCTGTGTTTTATAACGAAGAATTCAGGATAGCGCTAAGATGTTCCACTATTATAAATGATTTTACTCATATACGTTACATTATTAAGACAGTTATTCTTTGTTTTCAGTGCCACAAGTTCACGGTACTAGTAGTATTCGTTGTATTGTCCTATATAGATATATGATCTAGTCTAAAATTCTAATAACAAAGTAAATCGTGATGTAATCTTTTCAGTTTGTTCACCATGGAGTCGGATCATCAGACTGGTCCGTTTAGTATATCTGATACATCAATTGGCTGGGAGAAGGTTGATTCTCTTGAACGAAAACAGGTCGCCACGTTCCTCCTTGAGGATTATGTGATAGTCACCTACCGAAGAGAGTCCACGGAGAGTGTTGACTTTAATGACGAGGTCGATAGAGGAAGTGATCGCCAACCTGTAGAGTTTATGACAACTGCGTGTTGAAAAGGGAGTTACGTTATGCTGAGTAAAAAGGATGTTACTGTACGTCATCACTTCGTCATCAGCAGATCTCGGAGTAGTCCAATGACTTCAAACGATTTAGTACCTTTGTTTTAATAATCTATACTATGGATGAACAAAAGTAGTGATACAAATATATATAAATCTAACCTAAGCATTACCATGTCATATTATGTAGGTGATTCAGTCCTTTAACATATTCCATGCGTCGAAGCGTTTACAACGTTTTTACGTATAAATAAACACGGCAGACATTTCACTAAAGGAAAAATAGTTCGATAAAAATATGGCCAAAAACACGAAAGAACGGCGGGATATTATAAGTGCCTGTGTGTTTGCGGAAGTTATGACACTCATTTTTAATAACTTAATGTAATTTAAAGGTAACATGTTAAAAAAATAACGACAAATGCGTTTAGTTAAAATTCTTCTCACATATAAAAAGATAAATTTCAACAACTTTGTATGTTGAGGGAATGCGCATAATCGCATGACTAACTATGTATGAAAATGATACATCAGTAAGACATTGAGCTGTTTCATTAGCGTCAAAGAACGAACAGCTCGTTTCTCTCCTGTTTAACTTTAATTTATGCTTAGAGTATTAATGTATTTAGAAAAATGTATGTCCTAATGGAATACGTCCGACAGTCGTGGCGCAAAGATGCGGCAAGATATCAGTTCTAGATATATATGATTCTACCAAAGATAATAACAAGTTCTAGCACATTTACAAAAACGTTAAACGACAACCGTCCAACAAAGGAGCACCAGTGACACCTAAGGATTAGATCCGCCAGCACACAGGATGCATACGAAGGAGCAATAGTGAAAATCACAACTTATCTATCGAACAAAGTAAAGCGAGGGATCATCAATCAATGCTGTAAGTTTATCCATATTTTGCAAGTAGTCGTCTTTTATGTAAATATACCCTACGTCGCAATCAACCCTCGGATCATTTGCTCATGATGTGAACGTTTTGAATGTCAAAGCTACTCAATAAATGAATCGAACTCTTAGAGTGAAGTGTTATCGAATCCTGACTGAGAAAGTAAGCATGATTTTGTCTTGCTCAAAAACGGAATAAACCGTTAATGGTTACTAGGTATTCGTAGACGAAGAAAAAATCGCTATTTTCAGTACGTTTCAATAACCACAATGTCCGTGTGATTCTTGTGCCAAATATGATTCTTTCTATAGATAACTATTCAGTATGTTTCAACGCAACAGAAAACGGAGACTCGAGCAAAATCGAGTCTTATTGACGTAGATATTTGAATATAGAATACAAGCGGCTACGCTGAGGTGGCGTAGAATTTCTCCTGTATACCACTGACGTATAAGGTATTAAAGAGAAGTGAAAGTTTGAAATAGGTGCGCGAAGATTCTATGCAGCCTTTACCAACGCGGATCGTTGCCAGAAAAAAAAAATTATGAGAATAGCGATTTCTACAGTATTGCTAATCGGCTATTGCTTATTCACTGTTTTTTCATGTTACGATTATTATTAATAAATTTTATCCATGTTATTAAGTAGACGCTTTATTCAGATATGATTAGAAAATTTTGCATTATAGGCTGGGCTATTTGTACACGTTTATCTAAGAATGTACTTGGTTTAGTCAAATTATGAATGCAAAGCATAATATGCCCAGCAATGTATACTCAAGATACGACACAAGAGGATATATACCTTTGCTTGCGATAGCGCGTAAAAGTCTGTGCGATAGGCGGTGTATACGAATTATACTAACCTAATATAAAATGATGCCAGTTAGATATGGATACGGATGATGTTAACAACAAATAGAGCATACTCATAAAAAAAAAAAACAAAAAATGAATCAACTTCGTTGAATTATTATTCTTTGTCACCTTTGCTGATATATACGTATGTAGACCGTTTCAGCAAAGTTAACCCTAGAAAGCGTTTGTGAAAACAAGCGATGTACAACTAATAGGATTTTGACCAGTAGGACTATTTAATGCCGCTTTAACCTTAGATTATGCATTATAAGATTAAAGTAGGCTTAGCGCCGGTTTTTTGAATGATCTCAACATACTGTGATTCTGGTCCACCTAAAGGTTATTGCAGACAACGATGGAACAGAAACTCGAGACTATAAACTTAATGTGGACAGAAGCGAAACAGGTGGAGTTTTTTTTTCTGACTTATTTTAACATGCAACAGGCCAGTGTCAGAAAGAGGCGACGTAAAGAAGAAATATGGTGTTTTTTCGGTAGAAACTCAGATAAAATTTTGCACATACACATATGCATCCTTCAAGAATACAAGCAACCTTCATGTTAGTCATGGAACCCATTTTTGTAACAGAAACCATTTCAGATAATCAAAAAAAGGACAAATATTTACTCAAACAAGGAATAAAAATACAAATCTCGCACTGAATCATTTGACAATAAGTCTATCGTCAAGCCAATTTTAGAAGCTCGATACAGCATATGAAGCTGGATGCGTACCAATCGTTAAGTGCTTGTATAATTTTCAATTAATTCTTTGAACATTTGCAAACAATTAAGACCTGGCACTAATGTTTTCGTATTCTGCAGATTGTAAATTATTTCCAGCTTGGATTTAATAGCTCGTAAATTCTGCATTGTAGTACGCTCAAACCGATGCCTTTTCGATACATTGAGTGCCAAAATCTTAAACTCATATGAGTACTTTCGTCTTAACTCATACTACACGAAACTATATGAAATTTGTACCGTTTCTTTTTAATTTATTGCTTTTAATAAGCTGTTTAAATATCCTGACTAAATTTGTTGTTTTTGTCCTGGCAGGCTTTTCGATTTTTTTCGTAAGCAAACTAAGGCACCAAACGTCTGCTTCCAATTTGCCGAATTTCCAACTCATATTTCTTGCCAGTCCGTTATTAATATCATCGAATTTCAATGCATAAAAAAATATTTACGCTAGTTAAACAAAAACAAAATGATTTGCACATCCATATGTTGTATCCAATGCGTGCTCGATGTCATAGAGCAGACGACGGCTGGTTTACTGTCCAGTGTTGATGTAAACAACCGCATGGACATAGTGGCCGCATGAATATCGTACTGGCTCATAGGCCTTCCTCGTTTGATGTGAAGCAAGACGCAATTTCTCGTTAGCACTCTTCATCTTTTGAAGCGGCGCTGTTGTTTAAAATACGTGTTCCGCTAAGCGTCGATCGTTGTCAAACGGTTCCGTGTATTTTCAAAAAGGTCAGCTGTCCAAAGCAAAGTTCGCCGGCTGTCGGTTGGTAGTGGAGGCAAATCCAAAAATCGGCAGAACCCTGAATTAACTCCAATAGTCATAATAGAAAACTGAAGAGCGTCGTCGGGACGCTCTTGAAGAACTCAAGGGAAATTGTCAAAATGTGTGATGATTGGCGCCCCCCAACGGAGGCGGAGTTGAAAGTGATTGAGGCTCGTCGCGAACGCAATGACAAAATTAGCTCGATAATAGGAGGTTATCTTCTTCGCGGCTACAAAATGCTTGGTAAAAACGCCTTTTCAGATTCAAATAAGCTATCTTGAAAGAGTGTAATGAATAATAAACGAAGATCGATTTCGAGAAACTAAGATCGAAAATAAACTAAGAATGAGAAGAAAAAATAACAATTCTCTAAACCCATGCATAGTGTAAGATGCAAACTAAATGCGAGTAGAATTAAGACAATCATGATATTTTATAGTAGGATATATCCTTGAGTTCCGACTTATACATTTCGGCACTTTTCTTTCAAAATGAGAAATACCGATGTCATCGCGATACTTTTTTGCTTTTTTAGCACAATCCATTACATGGAAAGTCTTTTTATGTAATTATAATTGAGTTATTAATATTATTTCAGGAAACTTTTACGATTTTTAAAAAATTTTTGTATTTACCATTGCGAATTATTTTTCAAATTCTATTTATGGCTTAACTGGTTAGACTTGTTAAGATCTTGCCAGAATAAGGATTGGCTTTGGTGCATTCTAGGCTATTTCAGAAATAATAACATTTCTCTGATTTTGAGAAAAATGCATTAGTCGTGATACGTATTTCAAAAAGGTAACTTTATTTATTGATGAGAATATTTGCTACAGTGTTTGTATTTTGTAGACGAATATGTGCCGTTACGGAAAAATAATAAAGTATAATTGTCGCATCTACAGACTGTATTCTGTACTGAATTGTGTTGATTGCGAGGTAGTTGTTTGACTAGAAATGACGGTACGAATTTCGGTCGGAATAATGGTTGCTGTTTTCCAAATTCTTTTATCCAGGTGATAAATTTGAATCATTAACTCAAATAATCAACTAATCTGTTTAAAAGTGAGTTAAGTTTCATGAGGGTGTAGAGGAAATTAATGGCGGTAGCAGCATGGTCTGTTTTGCTTTATAAGAGGTTCATATGGAAAGTTGTGTACTAAACAGTCGGAACGCAGCTGTAAGTTACTGTGTGATACTCAACGAAAGAGCGTATCCACCGTCCGATATTTATATTTATTCAGATATATTTTCTTTGGAAGTTCCTCATCACGAAAATAATTGAATCAAAAAGAAATGTTCGTGTGCATAATATTATTAGTATATTATTATATATTAATAGAAGTAGGTCAAAATGTTGAGCTGTACCTTTCTGCAGTCTTGCCAGGTGTCTTCATTTTATGGAATCTCATTTACGAACTAATTAGTTTGTATAGACAAGGAATATGGTAACCTTTCTCAGTTTGCACAACTTATAATCATCACAAAACTGTTAGTAAAAATAAATGTAAATTTTATTTCTATAATAATACCAATACATATGTTTTATATCCTGGGATGATTAAAATATCAATTTTGCTTTGATTTTTTTTATTTACAGGTGAAACTTGTGAACTTTGCGATACAATTATTCTGGAAACTCGGCAGGTTTGTTTAAAATGACTTAAGATTTTGTCAATAAAAGCAATAGTTACTAGTTGTATTAATGATTTACTTTGGACCTCTAGCAAATGTGTCTGCAAAAAAATGAAAACTGATGTCGAGACGTCCCAGTAACTGAAAAAAATTACAGATGTAGAGTCTCCATAAATTAGTATGGTCAATATATTGGAAATAAAACTACTGTGAATTATTTTAATTATCGATGAGTTCTATGGCTAAAATCGTAAAGATAAGGAAGACGCTGATACACATTTGCTCCTTTGATTTGACTAGAACATATCATCTTGACTTCCAAATGTTTAAAATTCGTGAAGAACGTGAAGCATTAAAAAGAGCATAACACGCTTCTTATTTCCTGCCTGTATATATTATTATTTGCCACCTATTTATATTCTGTACTTTGAAGAAAAACACCAATTGTAGAAATAAGTTTTTTCTGCTTGAATTTGGAACACAGGGTGTAAAATACTGTGTGGCATGCCATGAAGTGGATGCCCAGGAGACCTCCAAGGATGATCCCGTCATGAATGAGCAGGCAGCTCGTCGGCTATGTCAGGAGCATAGTGCATTAACGATAGAAGCGCTACCTAGTTCCCCGGCGCAAATAGAAAACAACCCTATGCGGCAGGAAGCTTCGGTGCAGTCAGTCGGTTTGTAACTTTGCCTAATATTGCTTGCATTTTGTTATCGAAAAGAATAATTGCCCAGATTGAAGAATGAACTGTAGTCTGTGCTTGTAGCGTTAAATTAACACAATAAAAAGCTACAAGCATTTTATCACCGACATCTATTACTTTTATATATATAATACTTATTATTATATATAACATACGCATCTTATCTGCATGTTTAATGCACCAGAAGGAAGTCCAGCTAATGATGAGTTCGCGTGTGTGAGCCCAGAGCGGCATCGCAGGCTCGATATGACATGTTCAACACAAAGCCGAACCGGCGACGCAGAATCTCAGGGTTCTTCCGTCTCAACCGCCCCATTAGCTTCAAAATTTCCAAAGACAACTGAAACAGCTTCCACAAACGGGTTCATGGCCTCGCCATCATGTACAAGTCACGTTAGAAATCACCACCACAACGACCGCCCAAGGTATCGAATATAATTTGCTTTAGTATTTTTTTCACATTCATTATGAGTTCATTTGAGCTGGTAACTCCAATTTTGTTATTAGATTAAATAGTATTTCCTGTCTATTTAACCATAGGTTAATACTGTTTGCGAATGCGGACCCTATCGCGACAGGTGCATTTTTCGTTACCAAAGTACCATAGAATGCATCGATGCACCATTTAAAAGTCTACGACATACTTTTTTGCTCTTTTTCGGTTGCATACGACCTTGTGATGAAATGAGTGGCGGCATAGAGCTACTCTAGTTAAACTGTATACGTATTATATAATTTGAAGGAAACGAACATGTTTTACAAAGACATACTTTAAAGGATACTCCTGATTAGTATATAACTAAGCGTAAATGAAATTAAAAAAAATATTTTGCACTAATAGTTGTTGCACTAATAATTTGGACCTGTATATTACAGATTGTCCGGAGCAGCCGATATTCTAACCGCAAAAATTCAATGGGCGACAAAAGAGCTAGAATTGGAAACCCGAGATCTGACGCGGTGCAGTTTGCTCGCTCAGCTAATCAGAGACTGCTCTGAGGCACTAGCGACCGTAAATAAAAACCAGTCTCCAAGATGCTTAGAATGTTAAGATTTCAGTTGGACATAAAATAATGGCTATAACTGTAACAAAATCAAATACCTTTGGGCCATGTGTCATCGACAAACACAGCATTTTTTTTTTATATGTGTGCTTATTAAAAGAAGATCTTCACGTCCATCGGATTTTCCACCTGTTAGACTAAAGTTATTTCTAATAGTTTTATTACATCACCCAGAACAATATTTGCCAAACAAACTAAATACTAGGTTTGCCAAAAAAAAAAAGAAGACCTATGGATAATTAATAAAGGTTGTATGATGTTCTTGTACAGCTCAATGTTGTTACACAATGTCAATTTGATATATTTTGATCAGCTGCCAATTAAACAGAGACGAATATTTCCTTTTCAAATACAAAGGAATTCCATTGGGTAATTTCGATTCTTCTTTAATAATAATAAGCTTTTCAGACAAAGTCGTTACGAAACTAATAAGACCAGCCTTATAATTTAAGATTTAATAAAGCGGGTCAAGAATGGGGTAAGAAGTATTTTGCCCTTAGGTACGAAGAAGGTAAAGAAATGCACATTTCACTAGCGGCATTTCGGTTGCGTCAGAAGTTATTCTTAAACAACGAGGCTAACAATTAGACAATACGATAACTCCAAAATTTTCGCCACATCCTGGCCAAAAGACCGAGCGTTTATGCCTTTGAATTACTAATATCAGTAAGTGGCTGGAATGGCCAAGCATCGAAGTTAACCTGTTCTTTACTCTGATCCAAACTGACCACAGACATTTCCAACCATACCTTCAGCAAACTGCAACGGCTCATACAAGCAACACCTTTTGCATGCTGCATAGAATATCTCTTTAGGCCCTGCAAGCAACATGGCACAACGAAAGATAGTAGAAGAACAGCAACCAGAACGAAAGTCAGGATTGAGAAATCTCTCCGTCAAGCACAGAGAAGGCCTCATGAGTGAAATTTATCATCTCCACATACGTCGCCACACAGCTGGAGACTTGAATAAGCCATGATTACCGGGTTAACGAAAAGGTGTAATAATTTTGCATAGACAGGGAAGGTCTAGATTAAATAGTCAAATCTTTGTGGTTTGATTTTATTATAAAACGACAATTGAGCTCATCCTTAGGCGAAGGAAGTAAACAGTTTTCCCAAGAGACTTTCCACGAATGATTTTTTCATTGTATAATATTGTTCAGATTTTCTTTCCTCAGAAACTCGCCAACATAACATATAGTAAGCAACTGAATTAGAAACTGGATTTGTGATCTAGGGGACCACAATAGTATAATGCAAAAGCGCTGATCGATGATAGTAATATTTAACAAGAACAATAGGTTTTCTCATGGCAATAATATACTTCAAATCGAATCCGGGAACAAGCTAAGTCTTTATTGGTAGATATTTATGCCCGCATGGACTAAAGTCGTGCTCTCGAGTATTATAACTGAAAATGGCGTACTCAAGGCACACTTTGTATTATGGAGTCACTACCCTGAATAGCTCGCAAAGAATGTCCTTTACTCGTATCACAGTTAATGATATAAAAGCTCGGATTTGTCTTAAACATCTTAGGAATGCACACGAAAACGTTTCCATCTAGCCTAAATATTTTTCTTCGCGAGCGTTTAATCAGGTTCATTTCCCCCCGTAAAATTGCAGGATCGAATATCCGCCGTAGGTAGGATTCGCAAATCTACTTTAGAGGGAACCAATGCTAGTATTTCCAAGTAGATTCAAAGATCTTCAATTTTTCCCCACCTTCAAAAATGAATCATTTGTAGATCTCTATCTACGCTAAAAGTTTAGCGAAAGCGATAAATTCAAGATTCCGATAGATTTTAAGACAAATTAAACGTTTTACATGAATTTATTTTTAGGGTAATTAGTGTTGCTCTTGTTGTTCTTAGCGATTTTACTACTGTTATACTTTTCATCCCCTCCCACTATTACTTCGCTTATTTATAATGTGCTTACGTTATGTTCGTCTATATTTCCTGTGTGTGCGCAAATTGTTCTACATTTGCTCCTCGCTTTCCGTCGTTCCTTAACACGGCACTCCCAGCATACTAGCTTATCGCGGCAACAGCCGGAACTCTTTCGTCTCCTTTCTTTGCCACCCTTTGTTAATATAGCGATCATATTCATTATTAATTATTATGTCGTTACGACGCGACATCGGGTTCGGTATCAGCTGTTAACACTAAATGATCAGCAGGAATTCGTATATAAACAGATTCACGTGAACAAAATATATTTGTATGTTGTACTAGCTAACAGAATATTTGCTGGTAGTGTTGTTTACGCTGGATTAAATTTCCTTGCGTTGCTTGAGTCGATCGGTGTTGATTTACATGAGGCAGAGCTTCTCATTGATGCACAGTTGGGTCTTAGTGATCATTGTTAGATAGGCAACCATTAGTAGATCCTTCATGTCTCCGTTGAGCACTTCCTGGAAACGTTCGTTATCCATTTTCGGCACCGAGTGGACCATGTCCATTAGTCGACGACCCACGGTGTTATCTGCTGGGATGCGATTTGCCAGCACATTATCAACGTAACTAACGAAAAAAAAAGATATATTTTTTGTCAAATAGTAATAATAGTCAAATAAAATAACAAAATAATAAACATGATAACAATTGACTTTTCTTTCTCAAAAAGTTCGTAAAAATTGTACCACAGAGAAAATTTGAAAAAAAATCATAGAAATATCAAAAGGTATGGTGTTTTCAGGAATAACATCCTTCTAGCTTGACTTGATAGGGTTCACCAATTAATAAGTTAACCAGAAAAAAAAAATCAGAAATAGCTATCGATCATTGCTGCGGTGTGGTTGTTCGGTCCAAATATCTACATACTCAATGACGATCTTAAGCATTTGTCGCATATCCACACAGGCCTCGATAACCGTGTCCAGGTCAGTCGGTAGCTCCACACCAGTCGTACTTCCCTCTGGAACCTCTCGCGTTCGCTGGCAAGCTCGCAGTGATACTGTTTCTTCCTGATAGCCAACGATTTCAACTTTGCAGGGCGGGAACATTGTGCCTGCAATTATATGGGAACATGAGTAAACGTGCTTTTTCGAGTTTATTCAGATAGGAACACGACGTCTCCTGCAAGCCTTTTTTTAATATGTAATACACACGACGGGTGAATATATAGATGTACTGAGTGGCAGGGCACTTTTCAGCCGATCAAGTTATCTCGATATAAGTCCATATAAAAAATTAAGTACAAAATTATCCGGTGTTCAATAGAAAGCTGTTGGACAAAGTCACCAGGGGTACACCTCTTGCATTCACCAAATAGTTGAAACGCAGTTTACTTAACTATTACACATTCACTTTCTAATGTTATGCAAAAAGAGAAGAAAGCACTGAGAGAAACTTAACTTCCTTCTTCCCGTTTACTTTTGTCTTAATTATACTCAACGTACCAACTGTATGTCGCGGGACTCCAAAATTAACGCCAACGTAAGCCTTGATGCCCATCCTCGAATCGCTACCCTCCATCGATGTATCGACCGTAACGTGAACCGGTGTGTGCTTTGTTAACGACGAATAATACTGATGGATAAGCACCGACGTGTTAGGAATTTCAGCGCCGGTCGCAAACCAACCCACCACTTGCTCGGTCGGATTGACGCGTCGGTGCAATTCTGTGGTCGTTTTTGCGTATTCCAAATCTAATCCGACCTGGAATCAGCGGCGCAGACAGGGAATGGACAAAGCGACGGTTAATCTGGAGAATGATAAATACATCATGGAATTTGCCAACTAAAAAAATAGGCAGCTACGGGATCTGTGGATTCATGAACAAATTTTTAAAACAAAGATTTCGTTCATTATATTTTAGAACAATGATTATTTTAGATGTAAAACTGTGTAACTCATTTTTTGAGGGGTCAGCAATTAATTCCATATTTTTTGAGGGGTCAGCAATTAATTCCATAAACTATAAGCATTGTAACCTTGTTAAAGACTGTTACGCGATCCCTCGAATGCAGGAAGAAAACGTTAGTTTTTATTCGAGTAATGGAACACAACTTTTGGATCTTACTCGTCTTAGCTAATACCAGTAAATCTTTTTTTCATTAACACTTAGCCATGATGATACAGGCGGACAGCTTACGTGACGGAAAAAGGGAAACCTGAGAATGTTAACAGTTTTTGGGTGAACGGAACGGAACTGGATCTTTGACGGCTAGGATGTGATGACTTTTATGTATACCAGTAAATCTTTTTTTTCATTAACACTTAGCCATGATGATACAGGCGGACAGCTTACGTGACGGAAAAAGGGAAACCTGAGAATGTTAACAGTTTTTGGGTGAACGGAACGGAACTGGATCTTTGACGGCTAGGATGTGATGACTTTTATGTATATATTTTATTTGACAGGCCCATCTATCGATGTTCTGTTTTGATTTCAGTGAAAACACGTTTTTCTCTCCAAAGACTCTCCCCTTCTGCAAGATATCTACTTCCAGCTAGTGCTGCACCTTCTACATTGGATTGTACCTGCGAACACATACATCTCCTCAACACCTTCAAACGTACACTACTAATTTTATCCAGTATCACGCATCTAGAGAAGACTACCCATATTTCACCCTCCAATTACAGAAAGTTTGCGCTCTATTAAAACATTAAATCTATTCAAAATTCAAACGAAGATAGGCAAGAACCCTCTGCTTTAACATCGGGCAACAGGATTAATTAGTATATTGTCGCGCCCTGTCGGTTGTATCCGCCATCTATTACAGCATGCATTAGCGGCATACACACCGACTGACCCCGCACTTCTTTGGAACAGGTAAACATTGGGCATTTCCATCCGACGTATTTGATGAGTTCTACAAGAATAGGCTGTGCTTCTGCGTATTATCCGTGCCGCCGAATCCGAGTGCGTTGAATCGAATCTCACTTCGATACAATTCCTTACCTCATCACCGCTTTCGCTGTGGTTTACGTGGAAGCAGTTGGTAATATCGACGGCTCCCTTAGCGAAGTCAAACGATCCTAGCAGGGTGCCGATAACCCTCTGCTGGTTTTCACTTCGATGCTCGTACGAGTCCACGATAGTGAACAAGGCTGTCGGATGTAACCGAACTGTTGTGATTTTCGGCATCTTTAGATTCTGAAGAGAATTTGCGGTTGAGGGCGCCGTGGTTGCGGTTGAACGAGTACCAACTTGATAAGAACAAGAGACCAAAGATTGCCGACAGGCCACGAAACGGCTAGACAGTGTGCGACAAACAAAGCTGTGCGAATCGCAGCAAGTTACCAACACTACCGCAACCTATTAGCCGGCGAGTTACTCACACTAGAACATACACTACAGCGTAAATGCGACCACGCCACACAGGAATATGAGGGTTTTCGACTGCTCTCCGTTGCCTGCTGTTCGAATGCTCGTTTTCGGCAAAGCGTACCTCAATAGTAACATGATGACGATGATCTTGCCAGAATAAATGGATTTATTTTGGCTCGCTGATTCTTCCTTATAAGCAGCGTGTTCTAGGTTGTTGGCTATTTGATAAATAGGCGATCGCCGAAGTATCACAAGTCGCGCCAGTAGGATGCACGTACGTCGCAACTATACGTGTTTTTTAATATTATTTGATACAGGAAAGGAGAACGAAGTGATTCTAACTAACAGCGTCTCAAGTAGAATGCAGGTGGGCGATTACTATTGACATAAAGGTCATACATTTTCGTTCTGATATTTATGTAGTTCTGAGTTCGTAATGTAGTTAGAAAAGTTAGCATGATCAGATAGCGTTTTCAAAGAAGCTGGTTAGCTCAGCCTTGTAGTTACGATTATAGCTACGTATTTCTATTAATTTTCCTGCTTTTTTCATATATCCCCGCTATAGTTGTCATTCTATGAATTAGGTTTAAATAGACCTGTAAGGAATAATACTATCATTAAAATAATTTTTAAATAAATTGACAGTCAATAAACTGGACGATAGTATTGTTGCTATTCGTATCGAATACTTTATATTACATATAAATATGATTAGAAAAATCTCTAAATAAGCTCATAAAAAAAGAAAATTAAGAGGTGGACAACAGTAGATCTTGATACCGTTTTTCTTGACAACTGCGCGAATCGTATGTAAAGATGGTACTAATCCCATAAAGTAAATAAGAATTTAGTCTACTTATCCTGTGTAATGACGATTGTTCGCATGACATATGATAAATGTTTCTTCTTATGATGAAAATTTAAAAGCTCTCGACTTCTTAAGTTTTAAAGAATACGGCTCCCAATGTGCACTAGAGACCCAGAAAGTAGAGAGTGAATCTGGTTAATCTTTTTTTTTGTTTCCATTCGATAATAAATTAAGCAGAATGCTTGTAAATGAATATAGAAATAAAGAAAAGTTTACGGAAATATAATTAAAACATTTTTATATATATTATATAATTATTAATAATTATTTAAGTATATAAAAAATAAAACGTAAAATTTTTCGAAAATTAAAATTTATTTTAATTATCTTTCTTAATAAAACATTCACTGTGTGTGTTTCTATACAATAATAGCCATCCTTGTTTCATGTACATAAATTTACAAAAACTATTTTTAATTTATGAAAATCCATTGTTAATTTTAATAGGGAAGAAAAGGGTGTAGATCTTTGCTGCTGACCCTGTAACGTACATGCTAAGCTGTGACAGACACACAATCTGAGGCTAAGAGCGATGAACCAAGGTAGAACAAACAAACAATGCTTTAAAGTATTCCCCACCTCTTCTCAAACGTGTGTTGAATTTCTATAAGTGATCTCGATATATATATATATATATATATATATATATATATATATAATTTTCAGTAAATCTTCGTCTACTCGTAGGAACCCGTAAATTTGAAACGACGTTCTTGAATTATATCTGAGCAGCTTTTCAAGGCGATAATCATGTTTGGATGCTGTATAGTGCAGTGATATGCATTCATTTCATTTCGATGCGTCATTCAAAACATAGGATCTATTATTCTTTGAGCTCTCGTTTTGTTAAAGCGGGGTACAGAAATGTAAACCATGTAAGAGCATAGGAACTACGTTGCGCTACACTAACCTTAACAATACTGAGATGTGTAAAACGAAGCAGATATGACTTAAGGCAAAATTTGTTGTAGATATAAGTAAATAAGCGTGATATTTTACTTTCTATTTCAATATACAGCGAGATACTATGAGGTCTAGCTATATATATATATAGGTACAAATGATAAGACAATGTTGTTCATTAATGCAGTTTTGGAACTTAGAAGAACAAATTTGTGAGTCCAATTAAACGCGAAAGAACAAGTATTTGTCGTCCAGCTTTTTTACTTTGTTTGCCTATTAGATGGGTTGCAGTTGTCATTGGAGAAAAAAAGACGTAGACATTTTATCTTTCATCATCAATCAATGATGCCAATGAATAATCAATAAAGATTGCCAAGTCAAAGGATCATTACTTAAATTGCTGCACTTAATTCTCCTAATAATACCCTATTTTCATAATAGTCTCTAATTTTTTTTGTTCAGGCTTAATGTTCGAACGTTGTTTTATTTTTGATATTATGCAAGAAGTGTATCAGTAACTTATCATTTTTGATATTTACCAATAATTTATTCAAATACTTGCTTTTTATGATGAAACATTGCCTTCCCATACAATACTTGGTACTACGACACTATCGTATTACCATGGGACAATCCTGTCGTAGTGTCCAGAGATGAACTTGCTTAGATAGTTTTAAAGTGATGGAAGTTTTGCAGATTTAGAGTGTTTTTTTTTATTTTTAGATTTAGAAGAAAAATATAAATTGAAAAAAATGTGAAAAAAATTTAAGAAAGTGTAAAAAACAAAACAATAACATTACTGCATCATCGTAAATCTATAATGGTTTAATCTAAAGGACAGGACTGATGCAATTTAACGGTCAATTAACGAGACACAGAGCTATTTTAAATGCATAGCTGAACGGAGTATTTCGAGTCAATTGATTAACTTCAAACTCTTTTGTTGACCCCGAAGAAGCAAAAACTTTGTATTGCGCTTTATTTTTAATCATCTCATATTTTTGTTTCGTTTTATGCAGCTGTGTGTCGAATAATCCAATCTTCTCTGTCAGCTTAACCCTTGCAAAATACTCCCAGCCACTTCGTATACGAGACGCTGATAAGAGCATGGATAAAGAGGGCCGAGTGATAGTCCCGGCAGTTGCTTCTGTCTTTCCGCTTTAGGCAAGCGTCCACGGCGAAGCTAAAGGGAATTCGTTAACAAAGTAATTGCGACAAACAAAGATTTTGTTGACACGCCGTAAAAAGTAACTGTTACAACAGATGCGCCGAAAGTGTACTCTCATAGTCTCTTATGGTTACATAGCTCGAGCTTTAAAATAGGATTATTAACGATGCGAGCCGCTGACCTCTGAGTTTGCTGTTTGCTCAAAACATCATTTTGTTAATAGTACATACCAAATTAAACCTCGAAGTCTCTAATACTCTTTATTCGACCTGTGCCGTTGCCACAAGCAGTGCTCTATGGTTTAGCGGCAAGCTTACGCTTGTATAGAGTGCATCGGAATTAACAAAATGTCAGCACAGATACAAACCAGTAAGTATTTGTACGGTGGAATCGATTCTCCATGGTTTACTCAGTGTCTCATAAAATTGTGAGGTATGTATGTAAAAACATAGTGGCACACTAATTTATCTGCGGGACTTTTTTTTGAGTCATGTATATAGTAAATGCTGCTTGCTTCTCATTGTTTTCATTTTTTTTCATTTTCATTGCTTTGTTTTGTGTCCGCGCGTACGAAAAACTGGATTTTTTATGTTTATCTCAAGAAATTTTATGTTTGTCCATCCATTATAGCGCGCGTAACGTAAAACGTATATATAATTCAGAGTCCTCTTGACATCCGAAATATGAATGTTTTAAAAAAAAAAACTACATATTATGTATTAGCTAAGTTCCGGTACCACGAAGTAAACTTCATATTGTGCGTTTATTGGGAATTATCTGTTCTTTTGTATATTCCGAGCTTTAGCTTTTTGTTAAGTTTACCTATCTGTAAGGTCGGTATCGGATCTATAATGGATTGGGTGAAGTTTTCCAGACAAGTGATTTTAGGTTTCCACTTCGGCACTTGAAGGTATTTTAGTAATCAATAAGCTTGTAAATCAAGCATAGTACTTTTAGACGTTGACTGCCATAATGCAGGCTGCTATAGTCTTAGCCGAAACCTCATACCTAGAGGAATTCGAACAGGAAGATTTTGCAAAGATTCTGTGGGTTCAGATACCTTTTATTTTTACGTTTGAAATTTTTGTACAGGAACGGTTTTTCCGAAACGAAAAAAGGGAAATCGTTTCACGTCTTTAGCTGATTACTATCCATAACTTTGTACACATACATATCGACAGTTCGTTCTGCACCGCTCACTAGGAGACTTCTCGATGTCCGTTTAGTAATATCTAATTTAACTGCTGATAGCTATCGGTATACTTTTTATTATTAAAAATACGAGCTTTGTAGTCGAAATTAGCGACAGTGTAAATACAGAAATGTCGAGTTAAGATACAAAAGTGCCTATTATTTAAAAGCTAAGATTTTATTTGAGCTACCTTTGAAACGAGCTGGATTACAGCTATGAAATCTATTTGCGACGTAGGCAATAAGCCTAAAGATGGTGTGTGATTCGTTATGAATGCACATGTAAACAGAGGTACTTTTATATATGTAAGCAGGTTACTTTATTACAGCACAAATATTTATCATTTTACAAATTTGTATGAACTTCCGCAGAAGGCCTGGTGGTTTAGCGTGTGTTCTCAAGGAATTTATCACGAGCTCGAAAGAATTTATCTTCTTATGTGATAATTTTAACAATATTTTTTTTCTTAAAGGGATGCATAACATGCCTTTATTTGTTTAAATACAGAAGCATGTTTTCGCGAACCAATGCAATTGTGGCATGTATATAGCTGCATTAGGTGAACATTACACCACTGTTATTGTTGATGACGCTGCCCGTAGATTTTGAGGGCAGAATAAGCAAATGAGCTAAGCATCGGGAGTTTATCTTACATTTAATAAATTCTATGAAAGATTGATTAGTTTCATTATTATTCGCAAGGCCAATAAAATAAGTAATTCCTATGGTATGGCGCTTGCTGAAACGATACAGATGTCTTTGTATACGCATGATATTAGAGTATTAACAAACAATAACTTCCTCGGTTCACACAGGCTGTGAAGTATCTAAGATAATGCAACCAAGATTATAATAATGAAGGTTATTAGATGATATGATTACTGAAAAAGAATTCGAATTACAATTATTACGGTGATTATTCATAAGAATTCATACCGATATAGGGTCACCGGACCAGATTCTTCGGAATGCTGTATCAACTTAAATGCCCTCATTGCCAGTTTCAACTGGGATGCTATAGATTCCGTTGATTAATATTTATATGGTGCCAACGGTAGGTGGATGCTGCCGTAAAGGGCCGGGATATCCTTCACCAACGGCGGCTATGAAGGGTCCCCGTGAGAAGATCATGTACGTTCCCTGTATTGTACCGAAAAAAGATCGACCAGACTATTTGGCTGTGATAGACATTGATCCAGAGTCAAATAATTATCTCAAGGTACGCCTATTACATGACTGAGTCTAAAAAATCAAAACTTTTCATTGAAATTTCTTAAACGCCAATTTTCTGTCTTGAAATGATTTTTGTTTCACTGAAATCCAAAACACATCGTTATATCTATAATGGTATGTCGTGTATGGCAATCTCGTAAATATAGCTTTTAATTTAAAAAACTTTGGTTTTTGCGTACACACGAGCTTCTTGTCACGTTTAGGTGATTCACCGAAGTTCTGTTCCATATCTGGGCGATGAAGTTCACCATATGAACTGGAATACCTGCTCTTCGTGCTATAACGACTCCTCGAAGCAACGGGACAAACTCATTCTGCCGTGTTTGCTGTCTAATCGGATTTACACCTTTGATCTCTCCAAGGTAGTCGTTACTACTGCTTGTCTATGGCAATGTCCAGTTGTATAATTGATATCTCTATTGGTCTTTATTTTTTATTTATTTATTATCTATAAGCTTTTACACGAACGAGCATGAAGTTACTTATTGCCAGATAGGCATGAGCGTCTAAACTTATAAAAAAACGAGACACATTTTTCTGATTTACAGAACACTTGTCTCGTCAGTGCTATATTTCTAGATTTAGAGATTAATCAATAAGTTCGAGGATTTTAACTAATTGCGTTATTAAATTTACGTACGCCACATCGAATCTGGAGGATCCTCTTGCACCGCTGTTGTTTGCGGTGGTAGAACCTTCTGAAATGGCTGCTTTAGGCGTGTCTTCGCCACACACGCCGCATTGCCTTCCTGGAGGAGACATTCTAATTAGCACGATGGGTGATAAGGAGCGCAACGGACAGGGTATTAAAAGCAGACTAGTCAGCTAACAAAATATTTTTCATTAATTAACAATAAAAGTATCAACATTACTGTACAGCAAATAAATGCGAGGCTTCGTGCTGTCATATGTCTCTTCATCGAATTTGAACAGAAAGCCTTAATGCCTGCAGCTTTTTTTTGTTCTTTTGAATGTGCTTATCTGTTTCTTTTTTCGGTAGGCAGCTTCGTTCTTTTGGACGGTAAGACGTTCAAACCTAAAAGGACTCCGGGTCCGGGCGCGGAACAGGCTGGACTATGGGGCAACAAGAAAACGCCTTTCGGGTAACTAACATATTTCGTGTTTTAGCTCAATGTGGTAATCTCGCTTAAGTAGCTATCTCGTGAATTTAATACTAAAACAAAAATTTCAACCGGCAGTATATTCCTTATCCGAGTTGCAATTTATATGGCGCTGTCTTGCCTCATTTTTGAAGACATGGGCCGACTAGAAAGACAAACTGAAAAAGAGCATCGCTCCTACACTATTTTTGTGCTCTAGAACATGTGAATTTGAAAAACTCCATGTTCGGTTCAATTCAAAGAGTCTAAGTACCGCTTAACATCTCGACATTCATTCACAGATACGATTACTGGTACCAGCCGCGCCACAATGTGATGGTCAGTTCTGAGTGGGGCGCACCGAGGTTCGTAACTCATTTACCTGTATCTGAAATATCTCTGTTTAAATGACATGACTAAACGTAGGTGTTTTAACTAAATAAAAGTAGTACAGTATCATAGTTTTAGTTTCTAATTTAGTAGTTCCTTCAGGCATACACAAACAGCGTGGTAGAGTTTAATTACGTTAGTTTAAACCAAGCCTCTAAAAACGATCTTGATTCTAATAAAAATTTAAACTGGGAAACTTCAGAGTCTTCGAAAACGGCTTCAATCCTGCTCACCTCGTGGTGTCTGACGTTAAAGATGAGAAATATGGCCGGCGACTTCATTTCTGGAACTATTCAACTGGTGAACACCAGCAAAGCCTCGATCTGGGTGAAGAAGGCTTTATGCCTTTAGAAACACGTTTCCTGCATAATCCGGACAAGGCCGAAGGTAAGCAGTGGTTACAATGGTATGTTTAAGGGCTCTTCCCGATCAAACTTTTTGAAACGTATAGCTGAAGTCGACCTGATTAATTCTAATACAGGATACGTTGGCTGCGCCATCACAAGCACCGTATTCCACTTTTGTTGCAAAAAGGAATCAATGGAAACATGGACTGCCACAAAGGTTATTTCCATACCACATGTTAAGGTTAACGGATGGTGTCTTCCGGAAATGCCTGCAGTAATTACTGATATTTTGATATCCCTCGATGATCGATTCCTCTATATCAGGTAGGGAAACTCGACAGGTTGGGATATGGTGGCTTTCACTGGCGCAAATTTGATAGAGCGCATGGGTCAAATCTAAACAACCCTCTAATGTAATGTGCAGTAGGATACAATCTGTTTATAATAGAATGTTTTCTATTTAAAAACACCTTTCGCTTAGAATATGCCTTTGGCAGAGCTTGAATGAGCGGCCTTTGGCTGAATATGACCTGGTAGTGCCTTGTTACTCTAAAATCCCCTTAGGGAATCGCTGTTACCTACCTATTTATTTTTGCGATATTTAGATGTATCTGACGGCAAGACTGTTGTTTCAGTTGTTGGCTTATAGGAGAAGTACGTCAGTATAACATTGAAGATCCGGCTAATCCAAAGCTGGTTGGGCTGGTATGGTATCCTTTTTTGACATTATAAACACGTATTCGTCGACTAGGTGTTGTTGTGTTTTCAGTTAAAAACAATAATAAGCGAAGACAAGTGAAACCTTTCCTAAAATGCCTAATAAAAGAATATTAATATTGTCTCATGCGAAAGAAAACTTTCCTTAAGTTAAACAGTATGTTTTAGCACTTTCTTAAAAGAAACTAAACATCGAATATTAGTGGCACTCTTTTATAAGCCCCACGATTGTTTATATAAGTGTTCGAATACATAGGACCTGAGGTTTCTGTGTTTATGTGAAGTGTTTTCTGTTGTTTTGTTCTTTAATGAATAGCTCATCAATCCTCAAATGGAAAGTCGCTAAGCATGCCTATCGATATATATATGAATGAATATTATTTCAGTGCCAACTTGGTGGCTGTATCCGGGCTAACGTCACTTGTGAGGATGGAGTAAGTAGCTACGTTTACCTGACGATTTCAATACTGTATATACGAAGCAGTTTAAATTGTATTGGCATATACGGAATAGTATAAAAGATATTATGTGCCTAACTGAACATTATAATAAGAAAGAGTATAATATTAATCTCGTCAAATAAAGTAGAATAGTAAAACCTACTGAGACTTGAAACATGCCTGGGGCGTTTTTCTACTAATAGAGTTGGGGAAAGCCTTTTATACTTAAATCTATAATTGTACTATATAATAAAATCTTGAAAAATATTTTACACTAAAAATAAAACAATTTTTTACTGTCATGAATAGGTTTTCATTATTGTTATGTACTTATCTTTGCAGTTTCAGCCGTCCCAACCCCGTTTTGTCGGTAAGGAGCTTCGAGGGGGTCCACAAATGCTGCAACTATCTTTGGATGGAAAACGGCTTTATCTTACGACCTCGCTATTTTCAAGGTGGGATGCTCAATTTTATCCCGAGATGATCGAGAACGGTTCTATGATGGTGAGACTGTTGGTTGATACTGACCACGGCGGACTTCGCGTCGATGAGGACTTTTTGGTGGACTTTGGTGATGAGCCTGAAGGACCTGTTCTTGCCCATGAATTACGTTATTTTGGGGGAGATTGTTCATCTGATATTTGGCTGTAACTCTTTGGTATTTTGGAGCTACTATTGATAAATTTAAAGATTAATCAAAATGATGTTTTATTCTAAACCTTCGCATTAAACGAATAAAGTCAGAGACACTTATAAATGAAATTGTTTTCCCGCAGATAGTACCATCAGACCTTATTGAGCCGCGGAAGAGTGATAGCCGAAAGCCAGATATAAGCGAAACCCAAAAACGTTTCTTTGTTCTATAAAACATACAAAGTTTTCTTGCCTGTTAGAGAATAATGCGGTATTGGTTTGTAAAGTTCTGGAACATCATTGATCTAGTGCATCACCAAATGGACAAATTGGATGGACCTAGTTCACAGATTTGACGCTTAAAGGATTTACATAGAGCCACATTCCTGTATCCCGGCAGTCCTATATGCAGTGTACAGATCTCAACAAAGTTAACTTTTGTCAGCCGTCTGTGACCAAAGCAATACATAATTCCTTTCCCAAGGTAGCAAAGTAATGGAATTTTCTAGAAAAATAAAACATATTTTAATTGATTTAGTGACTTATTGGACTATTTTCTCTGTATCTATCTTTAGATATTGCGTGTCTTACAGTATCCTCTTTCTGGGTGTATGTACTATTTGTGGTTGATTTACAAGGCTGCGTTCATGCAGATGTGTTTTGGGAAAAGAGTAATGAAACTCTGATAAAATATAAATGCAAATCTCCAGTAGCTGGCAAGATGCGTCCACGTAACCCCAATAAGAGTTTAATCTGCTACTGTTGTCACATTGCGTTGACATCGTTCGGTAAGAATCAGCTACATCGATAAGTGTGAAATTATTCTACTCAAGCTGAGGACATTTTGCTGAATCGTTCACTACTTAAAACTTGAAACAAGTCAAACTGTTGATTTACACTTTGCGCATCCGCAGTAATGTTTGCATACTCTGTCGGTATAAGGAGAAACTATCCTTTTTATATAATGATTATGGTCCATTTTGATTACCCAATTATCCGATCACAACGTCAAAAAGTACAATTAAGTGCCTCCACGTCGTGTACATCACACATGCTTTGACGAATCCACTATTTACTAGATCCAAATTCAGATTTACGAATAGAGATTACACACCTCTGCCCTCTTTGAAAATACTCACAGAGGTAACTTTCTGGGCAAAATTGAAACGTCTCGTAAGTTTAAATAGCACGTTCATTTGAACAATTTATATGCTGTTTTTGCTGAGCTCTCCAGTAAAGGTTAAAAACAAACATGTCAAATGTCTGCTCTCTAGAACTAGAATGGTTTGCTCCAGGATATATCTAGAAATATATTACGCGTGCCTACTTTATAGAGTTCCTTTATGCTGCAATAGTTAAATACAAGAGCGACCCATTTGGACGTGACATGAAACATTACGGCGCCTAAAAACTTGTCATAAAACTTATGAGCTCTTACAAGAAATTCAAATTGAAAATAATTTTTGGTAACCGAATAGATATTGAAAAGAAATTAATCTTAATATAAAATCGCGGCTTTGTTTAATAATATTAAAGTGTTTAACTGAAATGTAAAATCCGGCTTGTATGTGGCTTTATTACACGTGCTTTTTACAGTAAAATGAGCATTTTTTGTTTTTTTAAGATGTCTAAAACTTTGGTATATATATATATACATATGATTATACAACTGCTTAGCCATACAGTGTAGTGGGTGTCACCGATTCCGGACTCCTAAACGTTTGAGCCTAATAACTGCTGCTTAACCTAATTCTCCCAGTTTTTCATATTGGATTTATAAACACAACAGAATTTACACATACGCTCACACTACCACAAAATGTTCCTGTTGTATCAACAACTTTGCACATAGTAAAAGACATTGTTTCGCTAATCAAATATATCCAACTTGGTGGCGCACTTTTAGTTTCCATTCTGCTCATAAAAAATAGCCCCCCTTCAGTCATATCTCTCGAGTGTAACCTATAATTAATAATTTTCCCTCGAAATTTTGTTGCTATCAGTTCACAATGATATGGGGTTATACATTTTTTTAGGTAAGACATAGTTGCATGTAGAACCTTTCGAATATGATTAACGTAATTGTATTCTATTTTGTAGAGAAGCAAGCCCGTCATTTCGCGCGAGTTTGTTTTTTGTTGTTCAACGAGTGAATTTTGTTTCACACATCGTCGTCGTCATGTGTTGTTCTCTTATCATGAGTTACCCGGCAAAACCTTTTCATACATCAGGAGCGTCAGTGCTGTTTAGCAGTGAACCTTTCAATAGTACTCTTACCATCGACGAATCTAGTCCTAAACAGAACGTTTGCGTTACTAAATAGGCCATCCTTTAGCGATACGATGACAAACTGAGACCCCTTGAAATGATTTTTGATCATTAACCCAATATTTTGAGTATGCGCAAGGTCAAGGGCGGCGTCCACCTCATCAAGGATGTAGATTGGCGCCGGTTTAAAAAGCAACATCGATAGAATAAGCGACAGAGCTACGAGAGATCGCTGACCGCCGCTTAACTCCGTGAGTGATTCCTTCCAGACCCCGCCAAATGACACCTTTAAAAAGTCCATCATGATTCAAGCAGAAAAAATCACCAGACGTCAAATGTCAACACACGCAAATAGTTACAACACCATAAATTCGATGTGAACCTATTGTAGGTTTATATATATGAAGGTTCACTTGATTCAAAGCAAGTATTTGAAAGTTAACATAAATTTTTTCAATATATCTCACAATAATATTCGTGGACCAGAACGTCATGTCACTGAATGTGATTAAAACATTTAGAAAAAAAATAAGAAATTATAGGGATGTATAATAGGATGCACAAAGTGCAAAAGTTCAGTACTAATTATAATGCATACCTTAACCTCTAGCCCATCGAGAAGACTGCGTCCATCCGGTGGTTGAAGTTTAGCACTAGCTCCCTTTAGAAGATTACTAAAAATATCACCAAAATCTTTGTTCACTTTCTTGTAGGCTGCCTTAATAGTTTCTTCTTTTCGTTTATCTAACTCCTGCATGGTTTGTAAGATACTATCTTTATCTTTCATAACTTGGGCGCGTTTCTTCATTAGATCTTTGTATTGCATCTCAATCTGAAATCCAGTCCATACAAACGGTAGTCCGTTTAAAAGCTACTTTCCAAAGAAAGCTAATCTTTCTTAAATTAGCATAGCAGCAGGTAGAATCCTAATTTAATTCAAATTATATGTTAGCATATATAGCCTTACAAAAAACGTTTATTTGATCAGGTGTAGTCTTGCGGGTAATCATAATCTCAACGCTGAATTTACCTGATCCGCCTGTGTGTGAGCACGTGTATTAACCGTCTTCGACAATTTCTCCTTTTGTCCAGAGAGTTCCTTAACCTTCTGGCTGATCTCACGTGGCTCATTTCGTGCAAAATCGAAATCGCCACTCGGTTTACCGAAGTGTTCGCGATCCCTACGTATCCACGGGTGATCGGTCAACATTGCCTTGACATCGGCCGCCGCGTCCAAGGCCTCCTTGCGTTTCTTTTTAACGTCGTGTTCAGTCTGTTGATTGCTGAGCTTCAATTCATCCGACTCCTTTTGTTTGCGCTCAATTTCTTTGTAGCGGCTACCAATCGCCGTTGTCTGCTGCTTGAGAAACTCTTTATGTTCATTGAGTCTTTTCGCAGCTTGTCCTTTCGTTTCGACCTTGGAAGCCTTAACATCCTCCGAAACTTTTAACTGTTCTGCTAGTTTATTTAGGGCCTCGTCACAGAGAGCTGATCTCTGCTGCGCTTCTGTAAATCGGCAAACGAGAAAAATAGAGACATGAACTTAAAAGATTACATTTGAACAAAAACACACGAGTCTATAATAGCATGCGATCGGGAAGTGAAAAATCCATTCACACACAATAATTAATATGAACATGATGAGAGTGAACATAATATAAAAACCTATTTTCATCGATTCTTTTTGCTACATAAAAATATTAAAGTATTACCATAAAAAACCGTCCTTGTTGAAAAATGCGCAACCATAAAAACTCCAGACTAGTCCTCAAATTTAACTAGAAATGAATGTGATCAAAGTAACACTCGAATTCAACTGTTCGCCGCAATAAGAATATGCATACCCTCAATCTCTTTAGTGAGAAGATCAATATCTCCTTGCAGTTCTCTCAGTTTCGCTTCTTCTGTTCCACATTTTTGAGCTGCTGCCTTTACAGCTTTAGCACAATTGTCAATTTTGGCTTTTGCCTCCTGAATAGCTTTCTCTTGCTGACCCTTGGCATCTTTCATGTGTTCCTTGAGTTCTTTAATTTTTGCGTCAACCTTGGTTTTGCGCGCACCCATTTCCTCAAAGGTCTTCCGATGTTTGCCAAGTTCAGCCTGCATTGATTCAACTTCTTCTTTCAGTTGAGCATGGAAGCTGTTCGCAAGTCGGGCTTTACATTGTCCCCATTCTGAGCGTCGCATCATCAGTACCTGATTAAGCTTGTTGTATCGTTCCGTGCGGGCCTCTCCTTTGCGTAACTCATCTATGACAGCGCAGTACCGCCGCTAATATGGCATAATATAAAAAAGTAGCATGAAATAGAAATATGTAATAAATATACTCAACACAATACAGTCCTATTACATGCCTGTACGAAACAGTATATAAAATTAAGAAATCAGTAAAATAAAATTGCATTTAGGACATCACGTGAGTGAAGTCACATTTGAAGTTACAAGTGATACCTCCACATGCCATTTGTGAAACAAACTAGAAATGATAGTATTTCTTCTAGAACAAGTTGCACTAGAACAGTGTTCATTCTCATTTATTGACTCATCTTGTACGAAGCGCATTAGAACTTTATGCTGAACAGAAAATCAACTATTTATGCAAACTATAACACGTAGAACGCTTAACCAAAACATGCATGGTCTACCGAAAGCAGACTCATTTAATCACCTCGATACTTTCCAGTTCAACGGCATTTCCACGACGTTCTTCGAGTTTCTCAAGAGCACTGGGACCCGGTGCCGACGATCCTCCACTTAACATTCCACTAGGATCACAAGTCGACCCGCAGATCGAGACAGTTTTGGTATTCACCGAATGATCGTAGGCTATTCGCTCAGCGATGTCGAGCGAAGAGGCAATCAAAGTTCGACCAAACACGTATTTCATCGTCTCTTCAAGCTTTCCGTCGAACGTAACGAGATCAAGTGCATTAAACACGTTGTCCTTCCCGGCAATTTTCTGAGCAGCCAGAAGTCGATCTTTGCCGACGTTTGAGCCTCGAATTTTGTTCAACGGAATTATTGTTACGCGTCGCTGGAGTCGACCATGCTTCAGAAGCTCCTTAGCGGTCTCGTCTGTATCGACAATTACTTGGAACAGTTTGCCGCCGGCTGCGGCCTCGATCGCGCGTGCCCATTTTTGATCTTTCAGCCGAAAAAGCTGGCAGACTGGTCCTATAACCTTAGATCGATCGAAGCTGGGGTAGGGATCATGGTAGCTAAACGTAAGGTGCGGATTGCGGGCATCAAAGTTATCCACCTCAGCCTTCAGTTGACGAACTTTGCGAGCTAGCTCATACTTCTGTACATCAAGCTCCTCCATATGTTGCGCATCGTAATTGAGCGCTTGAATCTGCTGTTGAAGGTAGGTGACGGCATCCTCATGACTCTACTCGTATTACAAATATGATACAACAATAGTGAAAATTCGTGAGCAGTTTATAATTAACAAGCTACGTATGTTAGATATATTCTCTCTCTGAAATTCAAGAAAAATACTTATACATAAAGTGGCAATACACAGAAAGATCTCCTTTACCTTGATTTCGGCGTTGTCCTTTTTGAGAAGGTTTTCAGTTTCGCCAAACTGTTTTGTTTTCATTTTGAGGAAGGGTTCGATGTGCGCTATAGCACGCTTGGCCTGCTGTAATTTGTCAGTGAAATCGGCTAATTCTACCTCCGCTTGTCGCAATTGTTCTGTAAGAGTCGCTGCCACTCCTTCCTCGTTCACGGTCATACCTTCAAAATGTCATCGAAAACGAAAAAAGCCCATCACAGCGAGGTTTACACTATAGGCGCTACTTCTTTCTAAACAAGAATAAAAAGGTTTCCAAATACGAGATTGCTTCGCAAGCCCGAACGCACCTCTATTCAAAGTTGCATGGGAAATTATAATTAATGTGATCTACAACCTACCTGGGTGTTAAGCTTGATGCGTCTTGAGCGACCAAATTTCATGCTGAGAGAAAGCAGAGTTGTTCCTTAGAGTCGAATGAACGATACACACATTCTACGTAGTTTTTGTAGATAAAAACTGTTCTTTTGTGTACACTGTGCAATTAGGCACCGATAACAGAAATAAAATTTGTTTTGAAATTCTCTGTGACCGTCCATAAGAATTAGTACCTTGCCTTATCCAACAGTCAAGCAAACAATAGCACTCATTTGTCAGAGCCACGAAGTAATAACTTACCCATGGCAAGAGCCTCTAGGTTTTTTTTAGCAAGCTCCAAAGCTTTGTCTGCACGATTCTTGTCTTCAAGTAAATTCCCTGAGAAAGCGTTAATTTTTTCTATGTCATCCTGTTTTCGCTTAATTTGTGTCTCAGCTTCTTGAAAGTTTTTTTTGACCTCAGCACGCGATTTTTGCTCGCCCCGAATCTGATCTTTAATGTGCTTTAGGTCAGATTCACTCTTCGCCAAATCAAGCTCACTGTCCTTCAAACATTTTTCCAACCTCTGAAAAAGAATATAAAATCTGAAAACCATGGGATTGTATACTTTTAAAAATCTAACTACCTAGCTACGATTTCTGTTAATTATGTAGATTAGAAAATACATTTCTCTGTAACACAAGCATGAATAAACCACAATTACATCTGAGTTAATTGGAGTCAGCTATTAATGCGAGAAGTTTATTATTAGGGCTTAAGGTTCCGACGAATCTATTTCCACGCAGCAAACATGAGAGCTCACCGTGAGTTTGTCACCACACTGTGCATTTTTTTTCATCTCAAGCTCTTTGACTTCTTCTTGAAGTTGTCGAATGAAATTTTTTAGTTCCTCCATTCTAGTCACGTTATCTTCTAAGACCTTTTCTAAGGCCTCGAGCTCGGTCATTTTTTGTCGCTCAGCCTCTTCAGCACAGACAAATTGCCATGCCAAGTGAATCTTCTGCAACTGCTCCAGTTGTCGGCAGATTGTATTATAGCGGGCAAAAGCTTGACGTTGTTCCGTCAACTGAAAACAACAAAGGGATCAATTCTACTTTTTTTGTTTCGTTTTTCTTCATTTTATGATAGGTAACTTAATGCTCGGCTCACTTTTTTCATTTGTGGCTCCAAATCTTCCTGGAGAATCTGGTTAATTTGTGCCAATTTGCTATCCTTCTTCTCAATGGTTTTCTGTGTTTCACGCTTCTTGTCTTCGTACATTCGAGTACCCGTGGCTTCCTCTAACATAGCGAGTATCTCGGGCGGTTTCATATTCAATACTTTCGTCACACGGCCTATAATAAAGACAACAAACAAATCTGTATATATATATATATATATATATATATATATAATCTAGAAAAGTGAACATGTTATTAATTACTTTATGAGACTTGAGAACCTTGACTTAAATCTTTTTTGACGCGTGTATACAATATGATGTCTTCGATCTACATGTTGGACAAGCCAACTTACCTTGCATGATAAGGAAATGTGGGTTGTTCACATTAAGAGACACTGATCCGAAGAGATCCTTGACTTTGTTTGTTGGAACAACAGTTCCATTTATTAGGTATCTGAAATTGATAACAAAATTTAACTCGTTCAAAATGATTTACGGAGACATCACAGTTCGTCTTTATAATATCTGAATCATAGTGCATAACTGATCAAAAATCTCTGGTCAGTCGAGAAATTAATCCTAGATTTGTTAGTGCGTTCGCTGTAAAGATTCTCAGATAACCTAACTGTGGAAAAATTCTTACATATTTACCAAGCCCTTTTTAGAGAAACTCTAATATTTTACAATAAGAATGCTAGTATGAATTATTTGCGAAAATTCTACATATTGTACTCACTTTTCCCTGAAGAGTACGCTTTTACTTTTTGAAGAAATATAGTAACTGCGCCGAAATGTTAACTTGATAGTTTTTGTTGAATCTTTCTATATTTACTCAACTCGTTTTTTTTTATATTTCTTTCTATATTTAGCTCAACTCGTGACGCTCTATTTCTAACATTGGTTCACAGTGTGCTACTAATGAGAAAATCCAAGTTCTATTATTGTGAGAGCGACTGAGCGTCTATCTACTGAATTTTTCAAATGCCGACCAATATTAGTTAATCGTGAGATTTCATTTTCTCGTATGCCCTCGCTATGATGAAGCATTTTTCTTACCTGTTTTTGCCTTGTTGCTTGTAAACCTGTCGGGTGATTGTGATTTCGCGGCACGCATCGTATCCTACAGGACTTTGAGACTTATCGCCATTATCAAACACTATCGACACGGTTGCCTTCTCGATTCCTGCCTGCCCGTTCTTGTAAATCAGTTCTTGGAGGCTGTTGGCACGAACGTGCGACAAGTTTGTGATGCCTATATAGATAAACGCACCACGATAAAAGTAATCAAATTAGATTAGATTGAGAATTATATGAAATTAGTCATTAAATTACGGATGTTAATCTTAATGGCATATTAAGTCTTAAATGCGAAAAAAGATCACGCATCTGAATCCGTCCGTTTCGATGAGCCTTGCATAACCGGTCAATATGTAAACCTGTGAAATAGATCCTTAGTATCCGACATTTGTTATAAAGAAGTGCATTCAGTAGCATAACTCAGATACTTTTTCCGAATAGTCGCATAATCTGATTTTTACTATCATATGTCATCAAATATCGTACATATGAAATGTCATAATGTGGCCAACTTACGATTTTAGAAACTAAATGTAAGATTATTTGTGTAGTTGATGTTGAATAAATAATATAGATATAAATATAAATAAAGAATGTGCAACACATTTTTTAGAAGTCAAAGAACCTAACCCGTTCGATTAAAATCGTCGTAATGAATAAGTTTTTCTCAAGTGCGATGTTACGATCAACATCACTCGAAACAGCAGTTCTGCAAAAACCAAATTTGATAATACTTGCTGTGACATACATTTTGACAAATTCTGGTGACCATTTGTTTTCATTCGTCGGAAAACCACGCAATTGCATTGCTTCTGTGCCTGTTAAATAATTCGGCTATTTTAAAACGCGCAGCTTATTTGGTGACAATTTTTATGTAGGAACAATTTAAAAGCACATGTAGTTAAGTTATATATTTGCCACAAAAACGCACTTCAAATAATATCCGCATTCACGAAACTCCATCTTGCTTTTCGGATAACCGATCATATCGAATCATTCTACTCTTATTTATGAAAATCTATGAAAAGCAATAGTAAATAACGTCCAAACACCATGTCATAAGAAAAAAGCTTAATTCATTCATAATAAATCAGCACACTACCCGTCATTGGATAATATCACCACTATTTTTTGTCAAACCCTATAACAGTTTTATATTACATAGTTTTGAGCGGGAAGAGTTTTCCACAAGTGCGCTATGTTTTCCTATTCACAATCATCAGCTGAGACCGGATGCTATGGCTAGATTACTGCCATTGATGATTTATACCAACTTCTTAATTATAGTAAATCAGGTTATTCATACTATTGAAAAGTCTGAACTTGTCTGTCCTTACCTAACACAAAACAGATTGAGTCGAGAATGTTGGATTTGCCCGAGCCGTTAAGGCCGGTGATTGCATTGAACGACGAGTCGAAACCCGTAATTTCCGTTTTCGTCGCGTACGACTTAAACCCATCCAAAATGATCTTTGTTATATGCATTGTCCCACAAGTTAGTCTAACGTGTATGTCACAAATTCGGAATCCAGTCAACTGGACATTTTATTTTTGCACGAATTTACTATTGCGGCAACGGCCGCCGTTCGATTCTCAAAACCGCCAAGAACACAGCAGCGCCTCCCCAGTTTGATGCATCGCCGTCCTCGGAGTGGCTGCTGCCCGCCAAAATATCGAAACCCAAGCAAAACATAGCAAGGCGCGTCATTCGAATAGCAGCCGGGATACTTAAAAGAGCACGACTGGACCAGTCGAGCGTGATCTCAATTCACTAAGTTAAAGATACCTAGTGGTCTACGTTTGAATCCGGATGTAGCACACCTTGTTTCATTCTAATGAAAGCCAACAGTTTTAAATAATCCTTAACGACTTAATTACTTAAACTGGTAAAAAGTATAGGGCAATTGCATTTTTGTTGATTAGGATTTAAGTAAACTTAATAATGTTATAAGCGGTCGACTAATGTGATTAATGGACAAGCGAAATGAACGACTTCGCCCTGGCACAGTAATTTTAAGGTCAGCGCCATAACAATAGTTAAGAAACTACTCTGCGTAGCGAATACTGCTTTTTTAGGTAGAACTTTACAGAGTTATTTATTTTTATATGGATTAACCCACTTTCTGATAGGCGAATCCTGGCGTAGACATACTCCGTTTTCTGCCGACAGCCAGCTGTCTGACGAGACGTCTAATGACGGTGCCGAACGTGAAACTCGAAACATTTAGTACATTGTGGAACGTAAGCTTATTAATTAATAATATATGCATTAAAAATGTGATAGGATTATATGTTGACGTCACAATCTGTGATTATAGGAGTACGTTATATGAAACTTTATTCGAACATTTATGTAACATAAACCTATTAATATATTGCTGTTCACAGAATAGATGCCTGTATTGAATATAGGATATACGATGATTACTTTTGAATTAAAATAGAGTAGAATGAAATCTATAAAATTGTTGTGTCTATGCAAGCGCAAGCGTGATGTAAATTAGTAAAATGTCCAGAGATAGACTATTTCGAACGTATTACGACAGCTTTTAGTCTATCCTCTTTTTCGCTGTATCATTTAAACGTGTATTGGCTTACTTAAATAACAGTGCTTTGTAACACATACTCTAATACGTTAAAAAGAAGAGAAGGAGAAATGCCAGTTGATAATCAACTGGCTACAGCACAAATTTACTAAACATCGTAATCCTCGATGGTTCAGTAAGTCTAGTAGCAATCTGACAATCTTTCTTAGCAACATACACGAAATGTATAAATTGACCCTAATAAAAGACGAAGTATAAGTAGGTTGTAGTTTGCTTGCTTGTGTATTCATGTTTGCCCTACGCTCTAATATTTAGCATCGCAATCAAAGAGCTAGCTGTCTTCTCGACCAGTACCGAGGGTGCCCAATTATTTACAACACGGTCTACGAATGGTATACACATTTTCAACTTTATTCCTCCAATTTTCGTTTAAGCTCTCGCATTCAATATTTTATAAAGTCATGTACATGCAAATAAAGAACAATTCGTTATACACAAACCAAAGGGGACTCGTGTCGTTCGCGTGTTCAGTTATACAGGGTGCTTGGGATAAACTACAACAGCCGCTGCTTATGGTACCTAAAAAAGATCGCTTTTTTTGAACAAAATCATAAACCTACAATGGCAAAGGCAGTAGGCTCGTCTTGAACTTGTCAACGAAGGTCAGCTAGCTTCTAATGTCTTCACACTGGACAACTTGCGACCAAGGTTATAAGCTTTATTAGTTACCTAAAATAAGCGATCGATACCGTTCGCCTCATTGTTGTATTCACGGGGCCTCTCAGGATATCTTCATAGGAAAAATTTCCATAAGGCAGATAAAAATACCCATGATAGAAATTGAACTAAACGAAAATTTACCAAGATGACTCAAAAAGCTATTTTTTATGATCTCGCAGCTATAATGCAAAGAATAGTGGCTAGTTTTGAATGGAGAACCTTTTTGTTAGAAAGCTGTGCAACGGGGAAAAACTATGTATTGGAAATAGAGACTAACACTTTTGATGGCTCAGCCGTTGTTAGTTTATCGTTATAGCGCGTATTATATTATAGTAAGTCGTACTGTACTGTAAATTGATATTGCCAGTAATCATTAATGGCTGTTTTTGAACCCTTTGCGCCCTTTTACATTCCTCTTTTTTTTGGCCTTTTCTGAGCTTTATATTTTTAAAATATTTGGCTTACTGTGAGCTCAGAAAGTAGGTTGGCTAATTTTTTGCACATGGCTTGTATGAGCGACGCCTTAAGAGCATAGCGGCACCGATATCACTGCACTTACTCTTACTATAACATTTAAAAGCTCTTCGATAATTGAACAGAGGCATCTTTGAACTTGTGACCGGTTCAGGTCTTAAGTTAAACCTGTGACTGAAGCAAATGGCAGTTACGTCTATTAAATACGTCCATCGCAAATATCTATGTCAGCAGATGCAGAAAAATCACCTCAATATCTGTTTTCATTTAGATGCTGTTTTTAAAGAAGTAACATCGCTCCTGTCTGAATTTATCCCGAACACATTGTATAATTATATTTGTGCCTGGTGACTGTTTGCTGGAGCCTGCCTTGGCGGCAGTGCTTTGCAGCTTTTATTATTAAATCAAAAGTTGTTCTGATATATTTTACCGTCTTTCGGCGTCCGATTTTTTCCATTATTTTATTTACATCCATATTTATCCATATGTTCATAGGTGTGTTTCTTGCTAGTTTCGTCTGTCTTTTATCTAACACGTAGGAAAGGAATGAAACTAGAACGTCCTCTATAATTTATGAATGGTAAATCTAAAATTTTTAACAATAATAGTACATTGCCGTTTTCAAAAATATAAGGAACACACTTCCTATATAATGCTTTCCTTAATGCCGAACTTCGGCTAAAACGAGTTCTTTTAATCTAACAAACATTTTTGCATAACGGTCGTTAGCTACTGAACAAAGAGAGTCTATGTAACACATAATCGATTCGATGATTGCAAGCCAGCTATGATTAAGAATCGCTTACCGAAAGTTAACCACTGACCACCGCAAACCGCTGTTACCCGCACAGTGTGTATCAACTTTTTGTTCTACAAAATCTTCAACCCTGGCCCGTTTGCTTCCACAGTCCATTGTTTTTTTTTCTTTGTAGAGGAATGTGTCAATTCAAGCATCTTGACGTATGTACAAGTGTCTGCGCCAGATCTTTTCTCCCTTACCCTTGTCCGCAACCTATTTCATATGAGTAAATAATTCAAAAGGTGGAACGGGTCTCGACAACCCCGAATTCGTAGGTTTTTCGTTCTCTCACTCGTCGTTACGTCACTACTTCAAATATACTTCTTTTTGTTCTTGACTAGATAATCACGATATCTCTTACGTCTTCCGTGCGCTCATTTTTCAACTCATATACCATTAGGCTGCCATTGGATATAGGAAGTTAAACAGCCTGTTTCATAGTCGTACGTGTTCCCCTCAAGTAAATCTATTTTTTTAAATTCCACATGTTTAAGCCAATTACATGCGTCCATCAAAATGATTGATCGCTCCCATAAAAGTCTAGCGGATCGCGTGCTATTTCTGGCAGCACTGTTTCTTTTAAATAATAGTCCGGTTTCATCATGAATTAGCCATTTGCCTAGCGATTTGTCGTTCGTTCCAATAAACACGGGCGCATCACAGAGGGTTAAACCCAACGAAAACGTAACTCTGTGATACTAGCGTTATGTCGCTAATGGCTGCGACTTCAAAGACAGCCTGATCAGTACAAGTCCACGCTTTGCTGCACCGTTTCAAATACATACTAATATTAGCCAGCTACTCCGTGAGTAAAGCTTGCTTTACATCTTCATCTGCAACTGCTGCTTTCTACATAGTACGTAGACTTTGAAAACAATTAATGACGATTTGTCAATTGCTCTGACAGGTTCGCTATATTATTATGCTCTTATGCGGTGACATTACAATGATCTCACGTTGCTTATATTCGACGTATTTGAGTACTGTCAAGTGTCTTACACTTAATTATTGGGTGACATGTCGTCCAAGTAAGCCTTCACCCACTTACATTTTTGTGTTTTCTCTATTTGAGCGGTTACTGAGGAACGCACAAGTTTTGTCGTGAAGATTATATTCCTTCTAGCGATTCTTTTTCTCGGTCGCTACTTACCCGGAGTTATAAAAACGACAAAGCTCGTCGTCAAATTCAACTTGTACTGTTAATCATTAATCAACCAATATCTAATCTCTTTTTTTTATTGAACTTACGAACTTCGTGCTTAGCAAAAGGCCAACACCGTAAGTTACGCAGATCAAACATTTTCCCACTTTATAATTTCTGATGATGCTACTTCCCGAACCTATTTCTCAACCCTATCTATTACTATAATAGATATATCTTTACAACAGTGTTATTAATTGTTCTCGTTGGTATCATTGTACCCGTTAATGCTCGTAATAGTGTTATTGCAGAGTTAGAAGTGGATCTTCATTCGAGGTTTATAGTTGACGGAATGAGTTTCGCACGCCTCCTGAAACAGTTGTGGCAAACACGTGAAGTAATGGCAGAAGCTGCACTGTAGATACGGGAAGTAATAAAACCAGATTGTAAGCGCCGAAAAGATGGTGATTAGTGTAACTAGGCCGAAGAACCAGCGGCGGCTGAGAAATCTGGCATCGCCATGATTTGCCCCATGAGGCATAGTGGCCAACACCACACCGATAATAAGTCCGAACACATGGCCAAAGTTGTCGGTCCACGGCGTGAAGCCACACACAAGGCCAACAAGAATAGGCGCAACCGCATGGCACACGGCTCGGCGTTTATCTGCGATTTCGTCCCACATCTCCCAAAGTTCGACGATGAATATGGCCATGATGCCGAAGAGCGCAGCTGATGGGCCAACATCAGCGCGATACGGTACGAAGCTAGCCGATGCCAAATTTCCACCAACCCCCGACAGCATGTAGATCGTGCCGATCCGATGTGGTCCGTAGATCTTCTCAACGTCACGCATCCACCGCATCTGAAGAAAGCACGTCAGCGCGAAATGAATGATGCCAGCGTGCAAGAATAACGATGTCACTAGTCGGTAAAACTGGTCGGGACGATCTGGCGACCTAATGAACGGAAACATTCCGCAGACATCCGACAAACAAGAGACCTGTGAGCAAAGAGCGGCCTCTTCGTGAAATGTGCCTCGCACGAAATCGCAGTACTCCCTTGTGGTGATTTCGCATTGGCCGTACGTGCCAAGACAGCAAGGTCGACCAACGACCTGGCAAGCCATATGAGCATCGCCAGTCGCCGATAGATCGCCAGCGCCGCTTCCGCTTCCTCGAACAGATGAGGGTACATGCTGTTTACGACATTTTGGCCATTTTGTGAAATCTTCAGGCCAGCGATAGGGTTCAATGGAAGCGGGCTCGTTGCAGTAGCGTGGGTCCTGGCCGCAGACTGACCCAACGAGGCTGCCGTGATGAATTTTTCTGTGCCACGTCGATAGATTTTCCTGCACCAGTGTATGATTCCAAGGTGGCACGAAAGCGTAGATTGCCATCATACGGGAATATAATTAGAGCAAGTAAAAAAAAAAGGTAAAAAAAGAGAACACAAATTAAAAAAAAATAATGAAAATAGCCGTTAGTTGACCACAAAATCAGTTTCCTCTGACAGTACACAAGACACTAGCATAGGTTTAATTGTAGTACATTTGTGAGGTCCGCTAGGATTTCGCTTGAAGACGACTAAATATAGGAAGAAAAAAGATTGAAGTACACTCTGCTACAAATGCTGCTCTTGTACACAGGCGCACGCATCGACAGTCAAATTTAAATAACATGCTCTGAAACACTCCAGCTACAGATACTACAAATAACATGAATTGATATTAATGTCGTCGGCACGCATACTTCAATGATCGTTTGCTTGATTAGCATTCACTAGTGGTTACCATTCCTAAACGAAACCATGCGGGAACGTCGGGCTTAAAACGAATTAATTATCCAGGATTGGGTCATGTATCGAACGCAGATACCGACCTGTCGGATGGCAAATAAAATTCGTAACGGCTGTTATTTTCAGGACTATCATGCTATTCGAACGTCTGCACAGCTTCATTGGCCATTGACAAATATCACAGTTACTTCGTCATTGTCCGAAGTGTTGGCCACTCCTTTTCCATTCTGGATGAGGAGAAAGTAAAACACGAGAATAAATCTTTTCATTGTTACAAGGATGCTATTAACGCGAACGAAAAAGTTCAGTAAATATCACATTGTTCGGATGCTTGTTGTATTCACTTTTATTATTTGTTATTTGCCTCTTCGCTGCGTTGTGATTCGCCGAAATATAAAAACAGTGCGTGAGTCCCGACTGGCGAACGGCTTAAGGCGTTTATGTCGTCATTTTAAATGCCAGCCATAGTCAAGCAGTTTATTGATTCCGTAGTTGTACTATAAATAGATAGCTCCATTACAGCTTCGCCGTGATTTTTCGCCTTCCGTTCCCACTTCAAATCTTCGAAGCAAGTTAGTGCGAAGTGCTGGTGAAGCAAAAAAAAACAAGCTAAGGGTATGATGGGATTGTTTGCAAACTAGATCTTCAACACTGGCTCAAGAAAGCTGCAGTCCTCTTGTCTCTGCATCACCTCATCGCCTCTCACCTTGTGCCTGTTGCTGACGTTTGGCGGAGGGATACTAGATAGGGCCGCAGCAGACGATGACGAAGTTGAAGGAGATACAGATCCCTCAAGCGAAGACTTGCACACAGAAGATAAATTGTATCAACCCACAAAGAGACCAAAATCGCAACCAGTGTCAAGATAATAAGGTCAGTTAGCCCATCAGACATCACCTGTCACCTAGTTCATATATGGATGCAATAATTAATCAGTAATGTACCTGTTGCTTTTCATTCTTCACTCAAAGATTAGAAATAACAGAACGAACCGTTTGTTGAATCGCCAGATCAGCTTTCACTGCCAATAGCCTATTGAGATTGGCTAGAGACTTCCCTTCAGCATTTCAACTGTTTGTTTAGTGCAGTGAGTTGCAGCAATAATTATTCGTGAGTCTATAATTTGTATATTGTCTATATATATATTCATTTCTAATTGCCCCTGCCGGCTTTAAGCAGGAATATCTACGAGAAAACTTCATCTTGTATGTAACATCATGCTACATACAAATAAAAGCGAAGTCCATAATATTAAGACTACTTCAGTACATGATATCTCAAGTTACGATGCCCGTGAAAACAACTGTACCAAGGATTGGGCGCTGGAAAAGTTGTTGATTATTCGTTACATAAAAAAATAGTCGAAACAAAGCTGCGCTTTTTATTGAGCCATACCGAACACTGGTCCTTTTGCGTCTGTACACATCCCGATCTATCATGGCGTACACAACAAGCCGTTTCCCGTTCCCGATTAACATCACGTACGATTTCGGCCCGAATTCCAGGATCGTCCCTTATGCACGGTGTGAATCGTGCACCAAGATGAATGAGGTCTGCCTCACGGTTCCCGAACCAAATATTCTGCGGCTCCTCAACGTCAACGTTTTCAAGGGTCAAAGATGTCACCATCACAAGATTGGCCCTGCGTTCCTTCGTAAAGCCCCACGGTCCGAAACCGTAAATGCTCAGAGAGAAGACCAGGATCAACTTAAACGGAGAGTTTGCAGTAGCCACAGTAAATAACAATGGTTAATAAGTGGTCTATGGAATAATTTTCTGTCTGAAATCCGAGGCAAAAAAACAGGGCTTTTTTTAATGTTGAGTGGTTTTCCAACTGTACATTATCTGTTGGGGAACGTAATTTGTACAGATTGTTGTGTCTGAAAGCAGCCTGGAAAGGAGCCTATGAACGGCAGATGCACGTTACATCAACGACGGTCAGTTGTCACTCAATTCTCTTGTCGTCGTTACCTAAGTAGATAGTCATCATAAATTAACATAGTGGTGAGAGCAGTAAATACAAAATGCTCGCTTGATCTATTCGTCAGATTGAAGCCGGCCTTTGATCAATGGCTCGACGATGTTCATAGTTCGAGTCGGCCAAGTCGACGTTCTACTAACAGACCTGAATTAGGTCTCTTTAAGGTCGATATTAAAAAAAGCAATGAAAAAGCCACTTTCAAATAAATAGAAGTCGAAGTAGCTAATTTCAGCCAATACCAACGCAGAACCAAGAACAAGATAAGGTCTAAACTTAGTGGGTGCTATTGCAGTTAGGAAATGCTAGTTTATATCTCGTAGATAGATATTATGCCCACAGCTTAGATATGAGGCCCCATGTCCGTAAACGAAATTTCCATAATAACCTTTAAAACAAAAATATAGGCAAACTGGCAAAAAGGACCACCCTCAACAACACATATCTAATAAAGGATAATGCCGTGGAAAATTATATACAGATTCCCATAGTACTGACGAATACTCAAAAAATTTTCGCGTATACTTACTAACTGTGCTACGGTGACATAGTAGGTGAAAATAGGCCGATACTCAATCGCGTCTACAGTTTGCATCTGAAGAAATTTTTTCAAGCCCTGCGTGACGCTCACTTGACGCTTCTGTTTTTTCAGGTCCTCAGGAGCTGTCCCTCTACACCAAAGCCAGTTTTTTCCTTTACTGTGCCCTGTAGCAGAATCAGGCTGAAAACAACAATATGACAATTAGACACACGTCAACCTGAAGGACACATGGGCCGTAAGTATCAAAGTGAATCCGAGAAAGTGAGGAACCAACACAAACACATGCCAGATAGTTTTCAGACAGTAGACGCAAAAAATAGTGTATTGTTTTGCCTTAGTGAAACATGGACAAATCTAGATTTTCCACAGTTGAAATAATTGTGGCATGACAGCATAACACGGATAAACTCAACTCAGCTTACTAAAAAAGGATTCAATGGGTCTTGCATCTCAAACTCAAATTCACGGAAAAAGCCTAGTGGGAAACAGAGCAAAGCGTTGAATGATGAATACATGCTAAAACATTTCGAATCTCTATTCAAAACGAACAATGTTAGATTACGTAAGTATTTAGATTCGTAAAAAAACAGTTCAAATATTATGCCAATCAATCCATTATCGCAGCATGATTAAACAATACTGAGCTAAAATCCGCCCTAGATTAGCTCGTCTTTACTTGAAAAGCATAGGTAGATACATAACGCTATTTCTGAATGAAGGAAACCTTAGACACAGAAAACAAATTAAGATAAAGCTGAACAAATGAATCTCACATATTGGTGCTGAAATCTAGATAGAAAATAACAACATTCGTGAATACAACTAAACCAACAATAATAATGACTCGCGTTAACAGATTGTGTCAAGTTGAACAATCAATCACAGAACTGCCGATAGCTCGACTAACTGACAGTGTTTGTCTTTAACAAAATATATTCTAATTTATTATAATAGCGTATCATCTATCTGTACACAAATAAGGCACATTGACTTCACATGCGCATTGAAAGAGTTCAAACGACGACAAACTACAGGCTCTCATGGCAACGACAGGGCCCACATTATTGGAGTAATGACTGCGTCGACTAAGCTGTAACGTGAACGTCTAAAATAGTTGCTGGCGAGTTTCGCTTCAGGCGGCGAATTGTCAACTCAGTTGCAATAGCTAGTGCGAGTTATTACTAGCACACTGTCTTCTTGGCAAATGACGTGCGACGGTTAAGAATTAGCCCCCTGAATGCATATGTGGACGCAAACGCACGAAGGCATGCACCGGAAATGCAGGTTATTCTAGCTTCTCATTCGTGGCTAGTTATCAACTGGTAGTCTAATTTCGTCGCAATTCACCTCGTCGTCTGCGGTGGGTACGTCGATAAGGTTATCTAATAGCGCTCGCCCCTCGAGTTCCGGTCGGAGCATGGCTTGCATTCGTATCCTCCTACTTTCGGGGAACAAGGCCATCCGATGTTCCGCCAACGGCGCCGTGTACATGGCAATCTGTGAAAGGATTGAAACCGAACAATGAAACAATATATCCTATATTGTCCTATATTAGATAGACGAACCAGCTACATGCTGTAGGGCTACGTCTTATCGCTAGTCAAAAGTTGAAGGGACCAGATCAAATGAGAAGTTGTTTATTTCAAAATATCCGCTTTTTACCTGCGTAAATGCTAACTTGCTAAAGTCTCTCGATTGCAAAGATGCATCAGTTAATTGAATTGGCTCGATTCGATAATCGAGACAGATGTTATAGCAGGCTTTAACAGGACCGAACACTTCGCAGCGTACCTAATATATGATGCTACTAACCTCAGACTGCTTTTCCGTTGGTGTTTCACGGCCCATGATACTGCGCGTTTTCTTCTGGAGCTTCTGACAGCCTTCGACAACGAGTTGGAGCACCGATGGCTTTGTTAGCTTTGGTGTTGTATCGGGTGTACATGTTTTGAGATTGTAGCGTTTGGACAGTACTGAACGTCGCCTCTCTTTTAATTTACTCCGCGACTGTTCCGTCAGTAGAAGAAAGTCCTGCGCTTCTTCCTTGACTTGGCTGTAATGAAACGCGGAATAAACTGATTCGCAGATATATTCAGGGTAACAAGACTGTACTGGATTATCTCTTGGTGTAATACACTGCGTTCGGCAACTTCGGCAACGAAGGCAACAAACTATACAAGCAATTCCACTGCCTCCGGATGAAATAGTTTACAGACTATTTTAACGTTATTCAGTCACAGCACAAACGAAAGGTTCGGAGCAAACCTAACCAAGAAACCTAACCGAAATAAAGCCTTGCCTGGATGCGTGATTAGGTAAACGGTGTTTATGAGTTCTGCTAGCCCCTTACGTCTTTTCTTATACACCCTATTACTAGCAGTATTGTAGAACTGTTTGATGCCACGCATACAGTGTTATCTATGTAAATCTATTCGTATAAACTAGAATAAATTTGCCTGTATTAAATGGACTGTGTAAAACCTGTAACAAATTACGTGTTTTCTCGTTAATTACTGTGACGGCTAACTACCGCACCCGGGATCCTCTTTGTCGTCCTGCGCACAGCAATTTGTAACCTTGTTACGGAATAAAAGCTTCTTAACTTAGAACTGATCGGATTCGCGTTCCAGGTTTTTGCTAGGGGATGTACATTACACGAGACATTCATTGAGCGAACATTTCATACAAATTTCCCGCTAGAGTTTCTTGTCGAAGACTGAAGGTAAAACAAGTTGTGGCCTATAGCTTTGATTTTATTATTATCCTCAAGCAGATTAGTTTGCATTTGTTTAGCTGAGGCAGATCGCCTGTACCTGACAAATTTTTCGCTTAGAGCTGGTGAAGCCAATAATAACATAACATACGAATGGACTGACCGTAAACTAGAAATGACCGTGTAAAGCTAGCTTTTATTACAACACACTCATTTACTGGCTTTATAATCTATTTACTGATTTAATTATTCAGCAACTTCAGATGTGGTCAAGATCTGAAAATCTGAAATTCACGAGTTGAGGTATCCTCGTTTGATCCTTAACTAATGCCCTTGTTTAGCCATGGGCTGTATTTCGCGTTTCATACTAGAAAGAAATACCGCACCGGCACGTTGGCAGATTATACTGTCAATGATCTAAAGCCCTCTAGCTGGTACGATGACGAATAGTTCCTGGGGACTGAACGGAACAAACAAAGACATCACTGTGGTAATATTTTACCATGGATTGGGTGACAGGTGTCGACCCAAGCGAGCATTATGGTTGGTATAACGCTGGTTACCACATAGCTCCGAGCTCAACTGCAAAACTTTCACGCTACGAGTTGCTGCTTTTATTACAACCTTATTGTATATTATATCACTTTTTTTCTTCTCAAATATGCATCTTATAAAGGTTTACGTAAAGGATGGTCACTATGGTTGCAAATAGGACTAATAAGACTAATGATATCATTGTTTAACTCCTCGCTCTAACGATGCGATGAGTTCTGCATAGCCATTAGGAGTGATGCAGGTGCCTATATAAAAGGAGCACGCCTTGTCGTGGTATTGGCTAAGAAGGCCAATGACTCACCGAGCAGAGCGCCAGGTCTTCCGATGACTGGCACTCAATGAGTTACGGTTTATTTTTGAGCAGTCGGCTACGCTAATTCTTACCAATGCTAACAAAAACAGTGATTGAATCCAAGTGGTCTATATACTCAGTAACTGTCGGATATAAGTAATCTCGAAGACAATGCAACCTCTTTAAGTTGACGCTTGACCTGGAGCGCCGATTCTAGTGTGTTTTTGAACATTCTTATGGAAGCTGTGAAGCGCGAATAGAAGACCTCGTAGGCACAAAATCTTCATGTGTGTCGTTTTAGCTCTAGCTCAATCTTTCTTTTCTATGGAAGTATTTTTTTATTATAAGAAAGATTTCCGTAAAACGTTTTTCACGAATAGCGAGACTTTCGCCCACAACTATCGTAAAACTCGTGCTTGACAGCATCCTCTGTACTGTCTCACGCGTCACCGGAACTTTACGCAGTTACACCTGCGTGTACGAAACTACTCGATCCAAAACTTAAATTTATCTAGTAGTATTTATTGCAAGGTTAAAGGAACGGAGTTTACTATTGCGTAGCAGTTTTACTGGACGCACATGCAAGTTATAGCATAACTTATATACCCTCAGATACCAATTGCTCGCAACCAATCATAAATTTCTTTCTGATATTTTCATTCGCTACTCATTGATATGCGATTCGTTCATCGTGACGTTTCGTTCTGAGGTGTGTACGCTTTCCTCGCCTTTTCTTTTATTATGAACAAAGGAGATTACACACTGTCATAATTCTATTCGAAGCTGTTACAATCAGTTTTGTGTAATGTGTTCTGAGTAATATTTCAACTCTAGTAAAAACGTTAACTGCTATACAATCAACTTGAAAATCCGACCCTTCAGCATATACCACCTATTTGAAGGAATACTTTGTAATGTCTATAAAATAAAATGTATTACTTACGCAGCATAACACTGAACTCTTATGACAAATGCGTGTTGACAAATGCGTGTTCGATTTGAATATTATAGAGTGTCGGCAAATTTCATATAAGCCTACGTCTTTGCTGTCCATTTTGCCATACTAAAAGTTATCAGTCAAAGTCGATATCACAGAAGTAAACAAAGTCAACCAACAATACACAACGTTCGTCCATTAACCATGCAGCTTAGTGGAAAGAACTCAATGTGAGTCATGATCATAGCTGGGATAATACTACGACAATAACGACATAAAGTCACTTCGGTTAAATAAATTAGTTATTCTCTAATACTTCTCATGGCCTTACTGTTGTTTTTATAGCAGCTTAGACAACACTGCATTGTTTGAGAAGTAGTAAAAATCGATTATATCTAGAAGGTCTGCTACATCCGTATAAAATATTTCGAATAGATTGGGGTACATTCTTGTGTTGTGTTTGTCGTTTGGTATACGTTCTTTTACTGTTCCTCTCTGTTAGAAAGAGACAGATCCTAGAGCAGAACCATAAGCTCACCGAAGGGGCCTTGTGTTTAATATGTGAGCAAAAACTAGCTATGATCGTATGTCTTCACACCGATTTTAGATTTATATTACGGACCTACTTGCTTAAGCAACATCCAGGGTTTATACTGCTGCAAGCCACCCTGTCTGCCTGCGGCTTTCGAAGAATCAGAAGACGAAACAAAAGGTCTACAGTAAGGCTTAGATTGACAGTTCGGAAATGTACTGACAGAACGCTGAAAATCATCTCTCATAATCCCAAAACTTTGATGCAGATATTACAGGTTGCTTCGAGAAGATATTCGTCAATTTAGCTGCGCAGATAATTCCTGGCACCTGAGTTTTCTGACCGTTTTGTACTCTTGGGTTTTTTGACTTTTGACCTATTGTCAGTCCAAGATTACAACCTCTTGAATTTTTTGTCGGATGGGTTTAAGCAAGACTAACCGGTCTACACTCTCCAACATTGCTTACGTCAGGGTTACTTTTGAATCTTTTTTTGCTCACGATTTATTTGGATTTTAACTTTAATAAAATAAATATTCGCAAATTTGAAAAAGGTATCTGAACATGACCTCTGGGCGTTTTAGGGTGGTAAAGTCGCACCCTTTAAGCAAGTAACAGTGTCACTGGACATTGTGTAAATACATCCTTAAATGTCTCCTTCAGCAAATGCAAGTTAATGCACCTGAATTTCCATTTAAGGGCAACATAAGCAATAGACAAGCGCCACTAATTTCCCGATCGCCCCGTAATATAATATACGTATAATAATACACATACATCACGATGCTTTAATCCTTCAAAAATTCAACCGACATTATTCGTAGTCAATCATTTAATAGGCTATTGCTCACACTTAAAAGTGAGCGGCATATCAGCGTCATCCTATTTCCATTTTAAAAATGGTTGGTTGCGTTCCTATAAATATTAGTGACATTGGCTGGCGTTATATTGGCTTTTTTATCTGCGGCTGATGACTATCACATAGGTACGCTGCACTATTAACTTACGTGAGCGTTTGTTACGCACAGATTTATGGAAGACGGGCACATGCAACTTCTTTCTTGGTGCCATCGAAGTGGCAATATTTATCTTTGGGCTGGGCTATAGAACGAGCACAACTAGGAAGTCAGTGCACCCCACTATAGACAATGGTCCATTAAATGGGTAAAAGCTAAATGGAGTTGTGAGAATCCGCACGGCTGGTATGGATTAGTAGTGACATTTGGTTCATTGAAAAGATGCGATTACGTTAATGGAGACTAGAAACGAAAATACTGCTATTGTGATTCAATTGTAACGAGAATACGAAATAGGAAATTCACAGCACTGAATAGGGCGCTGGCGATGTTAGAAGTAAGATATTGGATTCACTATGACCTAATGGTGTGGAAAATAAATAATCTAGTTGAGCTAGTTACAAATTGATTGTTTCTTATATTTTAATTATTGCAAATCCAAATTCTCTTTAAATACATAGATGCATTTTGGTGTTATTTCGGCTTGCGTGTCCTATGTAGGAACGCGTCTTAAGCTCATTGTCTAAATTGATCTAAATATAACCTAAATTTAATTGACCACATGCTAAGATGGTGGGCTTCTAAATGATAAAACTCAAGTGAGAAAATAATTTGAACCAAATCTCACTATAGTGATCGAATAGGCCCGCGTGCCTACGCCTTATATTTTTCGTGTTTTACGTCCGGTACTCAAGCCGTTGGGCATTACTTGAGACGGCTGGCTCCCCTAAGCACGAAGCGAAGTGTCTACGGCCCGATGCGAGTCTACAGCAGTAAGTGTTCGTAAGTTTAGCAGACAAATACGTAGCCCACTGCGCTATCGCGGAACCTTCTGCGTGGCTACACCTGTGCTCTTTTAAGTGAATAGTCATATGCCACTTCATCAATACTTGGTGCATATACGAAACCCGGTGGACAAATTGACAGACAGATGGTCTATGCTGAAATTTTGTAAAAAACATTACAAATATAGGAAGTACCTACCGCTAAGTTATGTCTGCTATTACCAAATTAAGGCCGTTCAAATTTGACCTTTCTGTTCACCACAGAAAGACCTATTCCAGAATCAGATTTACAGATGCAGAGATGAGAGAAAATGTCAATATTATAATTTTCTCTATTCACAGGTTGCATAGACTGTATCGTTGGTAGGAATTGATTGAAGGCATATCCAACAGAATCGATTGCATTCACTTATGTTTTTTAATCAATTTTCTTTTCTTTATAAGTTTAACCATATTAAACAAGCCAACCTGAAGCAGTACTTCAGTTGTTTGACTGTTGTGCCCGGCACTGCCCTACTTACGGACTGTCTCAGACGGCCCTTTCAGTGCAAAACCAAAAATATATAGAGTTAGCTTTGAAGACGGATTACCTCTTGTGTGCTTTAGTTTAGCAAGCAAATACACAGTATCATTACGAGGGCAAAGTAGAAGATTCATGGGAAGCCCATCTTCAGGTCAACTTTTAATTAATATTAACAGTTTCACTTCGAATATACCAGTCCGCTAGAGCTGTGCCGCCATTACATTGTCTTCACTAATTTGTATTGAAAATGTCACTTGAAATACTTTCGACTTAAAAAGGTTTCGTAATCAATACGGGACTCGGTAGTTTACATCGTAACTTGGTCTCTTTGTTCCTTCTTTGTAGATAAGTAGATTTTGAACGAGCAAAAATGGTTTTGGTAATGTTTATCTAATTACATATTAATATATAGAGATGGTGTATGCGATAAATGTGTAGATTTTTCTGCCAAAATGAAAAAGAAATTCAAACTCGAACATAACAAACATATTCACTTCCATTAGACAGTAGAAGCAACACAATTTCTAACCAATCCACTCTTCGGTTAAACCACAACGCCGCGTTATTTGTCTAACACGCATACATCCCGTAAGTATAAAACTATACTTTTCACCACGAAATTTTCCGACATAACAGAGATGCTTATGATTATTATTGTTATCATCACCGTCGTTTCTACGCTGAACTCGATACATTGAAAATCGAAATACTGTTAACGTAAGCCGTTCACTTACTGCTATGGTACCAACTAGCTACTGCTTTCGGTGCACCTTAAATGAGTCATCTAACAAAGAGAACTACCTTTCTGTGCAATATGAATGCCGACTTTACGATATTTTCCAAAAGTTGTTGATTGAATTATTTTTAATCTGCCATTTCATTACCGACTTGGAAATGGACTTGGACACATATCAATAATACATATATGTAGTGTATAACTTAACTCCATGTGAAAATGTTTTGGTAATATGCTTAGGCCCATCAAGATCTTCAGGGTTTGCTCGGTTCAGTAGCCATCCAATGAATATATGGGTTAGTTAATCGTTAATGGGTTAGTTAATAGTTTTAAATTAATTTATCTTGCTGTTTACGATTCAATGCCGATCGAACGTTCCTTTTAAAGATCTATCAAGCGGTGTGTGTTTTGTCTCCAGTCTAGAAAATATCCCGTCATATTTAGTTAACTTGTGTTATACATACCTGACCGTCCTGCGAAGCGATCTGCTTAGTTGAAGTCCTTCCCTGGACGGAGGATCTGATCCCCCGCCTGCACGGCTGCCGCCGCCTCCTGCTCCAACAGATGCGCCATTTCCAGACCCCGTTTGAACTGGGGTGACGGCCTCGTCTGCTCGATCTTTTACCATGATTCTTCAGATAATGTCACTCACTGGATAAACACCCGCACACCTTGCCGCTAACAGTTATCCCTAATGCTTGTATCCACTATCGTAATTTGTATCTACTTGAGTCCGCGATTCTTATGTAAAGTATTCCCCCCCCTCCCCTACGGTATTTGCGCGGCACTGTTACGTCTACCCTTACTTTTCAGTCGCTCTCGGATTTCGACGAAAGGCAAATCGTATACAATTTGCTCCCAAATCTTAAAAGGTTACGGTCTAAGTCAGCTGCGGTGTGGAGACAGTCACTTCACAGGTCACTAGAGTATACCGATAATCTTTGTCTTACTTTTCTGGTCTGTGTTGAGGGTTACACTCAATAAACCGTAAACAGATATATTTCCTTTTTTCTTTTCAATATATAATTGCCGATACGCATCCACTCATTCTGTTTCAGTCTGTGTGGCCGACAAAAAAATTTGTGGCCGAGCACAAAACAGCTGGTGAAAGACGTAAAATTATGTGTCAAAAGTTAAGTGGACAGGCAGCAGTTTACCTGGGTGAACCAGCTGAACGAGTAACTGACAAAAAAGTTACTCAGTCAACAAAGTTTAATCGCGTACTGAAATGGTCAGCCCCTACTACTCCTATTATCACCACAACTACGATAATTCTAAATTACCAGTGAGAATCACGTCAATAGAAAAAAGACAATGACTCAACCAAATGGTGCTTTCTATATGTGGGCGACAATTGCAAGCGAATCTGTGTCTCCCTAGCTTTGACCAACTACACAATCAGAGCGACTGTTTTTGGGGGTAGATACCTCATCCAGAAACAACCACACGAGTACTAAATCGCGATACTGCCCCCGCACGAGCTTCGTTTTGAGTGTTGATTACTCCGAATCACAACAGCTCGTTCATGCAATCGGAGCGCAGCCATTTACTACGCTGCTGTCCTTTCACAGTGGCGCTCCGAGTCTGCAGGACTCCACTGCTCCTCGGTTCGAACGCTTCAACATCGCCCACCACTCACGGTAGGCAATACAATCGTCAGTAATAACAATACACCCTTCTCGTTGAGAGCCAAGCTGCCGTGAGCAGAACTCACTTGTTTCGCTCTTTTAACCCAATAATAGACGGGGTCTATTTGCTACTGCATATTGCGTACGCATAGAGGAATAGTTCATTCAGTAATACATTGTTAAACACTAGATCGCGGTGGCTACTCGGTGAATGAGCAGGCGCGAAGCCAAGCAGACGCCACGAGCAACTGGCGCCTATTACTCGTTATTATTGTATAAATAATCGATAGGAATGAGGATTTGACGGATGGAAACGAGTGCTGGTATAATCATCTAGGATAATTTCAATGAATAATTTAACCGTACCAGAAATGGGCTTGTCGTTGAGCCTAATGGGTATTTGATGAGGGCAAGCTGACTTCAGCCCGTAAGATTATGTTTAGGATCTGTGAGCTCTATACCCTTTCCGGTCTTCGATCTTCAGCAAGGTTTGCATCTTGCCAAAGTATGAATGGTGTAAAAATGATGCGGTATACTTCTTAAGAAGTCAAATTTTTCTCGGTATGTGCATTTAGAGTGCATTTTTCTCTGCACAATTTTAAGATATTTGTGTCCGTCGTAGCTACTCGGCCTTTTACGCAACGGTAAGCTCCTGTGTGGCGCTCGACTATTCTTCATCGATACGACGAACTTGAGGGGTTAGACAAGTCCTGCTAAAGACCTCCTCGCCGCTGCCGGTTCTCCCTGTGCGATTTAGTCGACAGAGCCGATGTAAACACACCAGACATTCTGTCGGCGGAATTCTGTTTCTCGAGTGAAAAATGGATTTCCGAGATAGATCAGGAGCCGCAGATATCAGGTGAGTATGACAAACGTCAGTGTGATCTCCCCGTGGAAAAGCTGGGCTAGTTAGCTCCGGTGCTAAATCCCGCTTTTGTGGCACTTCGCAACCGGTACCCGGCTGCAAACCATAAATTTGCTCTATATATCTCCACATAGATATATAATTAGTGCGTATGCATACTGAGTATATATAATCAATATATATCAAAATCTTACTTTGGTATATAGGCTCGTATAAAAATGTGCGCGTCGCAGTGTATCGGTGATCGATTGTGCGAGTGCTGGTAGCACTAATTATAACAATAGTTTGAAAACGTATCAATGCGTTCGTGTGAAATTTCTGCGCGATGAAGTATAGGCAGTTGATTGCTAAATTGTTTGTAATTGACCGCATTGTGATACTGACAAGATATAATCTAGAATAGGAACAGTATGAGAAATACGTTGTTGCGGGAATCCGCCGAAGCTTTCGATTAGAGCGAATAGGTAAGAGGAATTCGAGATTTGCGAGATCCAAACCTGCTTGTCGGAAGCCATTATGAATTCTAGAAATAACAATTTCTGTATGCTGACGTGCCTCAGAGAGATAATCCCTCCAATTGAAGCGCTGCGCTCACCGAATTTCACGGCCATTGAGACAACCAATCGACAATAAATTAAATTGAACGCTAAGTTAATCGCTCTACCAAAATGATGCAGTACATGTGAGCCAAACAAAAAAGATAACATAACTATTGTCGTTAACTCAGTTAATCGAAACGGTTTATGCACATTTGCCTGTTTCAAGCTATGCTTCTATGTTTTTGTATCGTCAAGTGCTCGTTACGGGTATCATCAGGTGTGGTTATCGCCCGGATTCGTTTCACTCGCAATACCGTTATCTAATATCAATTTTATGCCTTGTTTAGATGCATACAATACGTTCTAATTAACCCCTACTTGCCTGGTGATATATTGCAGACCGAATCACAGATATTCCGAAGTGTCGACAACAGCGCGAAGTTCAAAAACAAGAAAGCAGAGCGGCGAAAATTCAAATATTGTTTGGAGAAGTGGAGAGAAAAAATTGGAGCGCAGTGACAAAGTGCAGTACGTTGCGATTCTACTTTTTGGTGGATTGTCCCCCCTGTCGTCGCTGTGATGCTTTCCCGTTAGCGGCATCCGCGTCGTGTTGTGTTTTCGACCTCTTCGTCATAAGCAGAAAAGGCTAACCTTTGATTGGTGCAACATTTATAGTGGCGATGCCGCGGCATCTTCTATGGGAAAATTGCCTTCGCTTGTTGTTAAATCCGACGATGTGTTTCCTAGTCGGGTAGAATGCACCGATGATACCGTGTGACAGTATAAGCTGTGTTTGGTATGAACGCAAACTAGGCGCATCGATTAATTCACGTGGAACTAATGACACGTATAATGCAAAGAAATAAATTTGCGCCGTTAGCAGACAAAATAATTCAAATCTATTTAATTACTCGAGTTGTCTTCACATGCTTTTCGTAGTATATTATCAAAGCTCTTTTTCTTGCTGGAAACAATTTGTTAGCTACCTAAACTGTAGTCCTTTACAAAAACATGAACAGAATTTATACAGGAAACACTATGCCAAACATTTTGATCATGGTGATATGATGATGATTTGAGGGACTTAATCTGACTGTTGCTCCTTCCGAGCTGCAGTGATACAGATTCTTCAACTTGTTATCGGAATTCTGTTAATTTGAAGATACAATAAGATGTTCCCTGAAAAACTATGCGACTATTATAGGTATTACCGTTGCCGTATTGAAAGTCTTTGCTCTTGAATTTTACGGAATTTCAGTTCAGAGTCGGATTCCCCGCGTGAAGATAAGTCGTCAAGCCGAAAACACAAGAAGCGACGGCACAAGGATCGAAAAGAGCGTGACGGGGGTGGAAGAGGTGATCGAAGTTCGCGCAGCAGCAAAAAACACAAAAAGCATAAACGTCATAAGAGTGACCGCGATCACACTAGGGTAAGGCAGCTACCACGTCAAAATATAAAATGCAACAGGTCATAATAGCCCAAAGCGCATTGGTTCATCATAGTTTTCTTGCACGATCTACCCTGTCTTGGCCCTTTTCGATTTATTGTGCTGGCGATGCGCGCAATTATGCCCTCAAGTAAGAAGCGGCGCAATAAATCCGGTTCAAGTACTGTTCGTATTGATATATTGTCTTTATCGTTGTGTACAGGATGGCGAAGGGCGAGCGCTGCCATCTGTTGGTGGTATTGATGCGGCCGACATGGGTGACATGGAGCTTGAAGAACTCGAGCGTAAGAAGTTGGAACTACTCAAATCGCTACAGATGGTCGACCAGGATGAGGAAGAGCAGAATCAATTAGTTGTACGAGGAGGTAATCGGCGAGTTGTAGTTGAAGACGCTACCGAGAAGGACCAAATCACTGCGGTATGGAATGAAATACTGTTTCCTTGTTACGTACATTTTTGACTGTATGCTTATTTATGATTTGTAGTTGTTAAAATATTGGGTCGGAATCTGAAACTAAAAATGAAGAGTACTTGTTAGAATTTTTTTCTCATTTGCATCAGTTAGCTAAGGCTTACCTGATGTTAAAATGACGCAACGGTCTTCGTGCTAACGGATAAGATTTGCCTAACGGCGAAGTCACAAGTATTCCTGCTCTAAAACTAGTATGAAGAACCTAAAATAAATTTCGAATGAGATTGGTTAGAACATGCTTTTGAAAACATATTCAATACACTATTTTGGTTTATATAGCAATTCGAGGCAAAAAGTTCGGTTTTTTGTATGAGCCTACTTTAACTATAAAAAACCATAATAAAAATAATAACAGTAATGATAATTACCATACACTGCACAACACGTATTGGTTCGTATAGGCATGGGACATACAGTTTACGTGTTTTCCTCTTTTCAGCTAAAAACTAAAATAACAGTTACGAACGGTGACACAGAAGACATATCCGCCTCGGAAAGCGATAGAGAAAAATCTGTTGAAAAGCCACAGAAAAACGGCTCCAGTTTAAAGACTGCCAAAGAAATCAGTCGTAAGGAGACGAAAGACTCGAAAGACAGCAAGGAGCAGTCAGATAAAGATGTAGTTAAAGATGATAAAAAACGTCGAAGGTCCAGATCTCCTGATGATCGCAAGGATAGGTCGGAGTATCGCGATGACAAGGTTGGTGCATATAAAATCCCAGAATGGTACTCAAAGCTACAGATCAATAGGTACACGTTACTCTATGTTGAATTCAGCGTATAAAATATACATTGTTTAGCTACTAACGTCACGTCCTATTATATATCAAATTGGCATAAATAGTAAAATAATACTAGCTAACTTTTAAAATTAACGCTTTCAACCTTGTTAGCTATTTGATGTTCTTCATATATATTAAAAAGTAGATAGAAAAAGAGCAGAGAAACAAACGTGTATCAGCGCAATGATCGATTTTTATTTTATACTCTATTTTGCTTACGTACCATATGAAGAGGCACACTTTGTAATATTTCACATCGAACTCTTATTGATGTAACTCTATGCCATCCGTATTCTTTTCTTCCTTTCTTTCACTTCCTCTATATCCAATATTTCTCAGCGACGAGATCGCGATAGCGACAAGCGCGTGGCCCGAGATAAGGATCGCGACAAAGACAAACCGAAGCAGCTGGTAAAAGGCGGAGAACGATCTGAACGTGGCGGCGGGGGCGGCAACAGCGGCCCTGTTGGCGAACAACAGCGTGATAAAGATCGCGAGCGTGACCAGCTCCAACGCGAGAAAGAAAAAGAACAACAGCAGCAACGCGAACGTGACAAAGAACGTGACCGCGAACGTGAACGTGACAAAGAGCGTGAACGTGATAAAGACCGTGAACAGAGAGAGCGTGAAAAGGAGCAGCGGGAAAAGGAACGTGAGAAAGAAAAGGAACAACGTGAAAAGGAAAAAGAAAAAGAGCGTGAACAGCAGCGTGACAAAGAAAAGGAACGCCAGCGTCAGCGTGACAAAGAGAAAGAGCAACAAAAACGGGATCGTGACCGCGATCGGGATCGTGAGCGTGAACGGGACCGGGACCGGGATCGCGAACGTGATAAGGAACGGGATCGAGAACGTGACAGGGATCGCCAGAGAGAGCGGGTAAGTTGCAGGCAATGATGAAGGTGATGGCGAGAATCTGGCAGGAAATTCAAAAAAGAATACCCTTTACTAAAGGAACAACGTCGATTGTTTTGGACGATGATGCAGTGGTAATGTGTTTGTCTGCTTACAGACACCAGACACTAAATGGTGAGGGTTCAAACTGAGCTTACACACAATTTGTTTTATACTGGAAGGAGCCAATCGTCTGAGGCAATACCTAATGGCAGTAGAACCGGATGCGAAACTCAAAACGCATTTCAAAAGTGTATGGCTGGTAAAATGAGGGGATTTTTTTTATAGCAACAAATAGAATTGGAGAAGAACCCAGAAAAGCAGTGTTCTTTTAAGATGTTTATTTAAATAAATGGCGGCGTAGAATAAAGAAAATTTTCATCTTGATTTCAGAACGTTTTGATTGAATGTCATGAAAGTCGTGAGAGAAACGATGAATGTTTCAGTTGTTTGAAGTGAGACAAAGTCTATCGGAATTTAGTTTACCTTATAAAAATTCGCCAGTTTTTTTTACGGTTTGTTGTATAAATTGCATTCATCTCAAACTGCTTGATTGATATTACCACTTTGTCTACTAACAGGAAATTAATCAGTTTAAATTAATCTGTGTGCTATAATAGACAGTATAATACTTCACAATATACAAGAAGTTTAAAAATGGGTAACAAAATATAAGAGTTTTTTGCGTGTAATAACCAGGCGGGGGATACCTACCAGCCATTCGAGGATGTTTTCTGAGGTAATAAAAGCATTTTGTTACCATTTATTCTAATAAAAAAAACCAGTTGAAGCAAATATATGTACTGGTGTTCAGTACAATTTTCAAAAGAACTTGCATCTATTTTCGTTCGTTTGGGTATATGTTTAAAAGTTGGTCTTATAGACATTGAACGCCGGTGGGATTTTTGATAGAATGAATTATAGGGTTGGCTAGGCTCAGCCAGTACGGGCATGCATTCCACTAAAAACTATTGGAAAGATGGTTCCGGGTGTCCCATAAGTAGACACCCGATGTATTCTAAAGAAAAGTACATTTATGTAATTGGATTGCTGACTTTTTTGTGCAGCTGCTAAATGTGACACTTTTTCTTGGTTGCTGGCTAACTCAGCGACACAGCGGCCTTAAAACTTCCAATGGAATCGGTTTACAGGACTGTCGTCCATGTATATCTTGAGCTTATCGTACTGTGCTTGTCGTGAGCTCGACTCAGTTTTCTTTGAGATACGATGTTTGAGGTAATTCTTAGTAAGAAGAGCTTTACTCAGCAGGCTGTGTTGCGGAATATTTGTGGCGTTTGTGATCATAATAACATATCATCGCACGAATGAAGTCACTTGAACCGACTGGACACTTGAAATCCATTTTGTCTTTGAAGGTAACCAACCGGTTAAACAGTTTAACACAATTTATAATAAAAGAACTTTTTTGCTTCATATGAACACACTATAGAGGGTTGTTGAGAAGAAACTGAGGCCGCCCTATGATTGTCCTATATTTACGTTGTTTTCAACTTTTTGCAGCCATTTTTGGACGCTGAGCTGTTTCAGCAGAACGATTTTGCCATGGAAAATTTGGGGGTTCGACGAAGACCACCAGCAATCTGGTTGTGGAAAATTCCATGGTGAACGGGTATGTTCGACCAACCCGGTGCAGCCGTCGAATATAGCTGCCTGAAATTGAAAACAGTGAAAATCGAGGGCATTTAAAAGTGGCTCCCTGTTTTGCAGATGATGATCGGTAAAAAAAGTCAAGGCGATCAAAAGTTTATATTGGCTGTAGAACTGCAAACTAATATACTGCTTTGAGTCACTTAGAAGTTATGTACATGACAAAATCTTTACTAGACGCTTGATCCATGATGCTTTTAAGTTTTTCACAAAGTATTCTACTGGACTTCATCTCAAAGACGATTTTTTATGTGTGTAACCTATCATTATTCCTAGCAAGACATAAATTGTTCCGCACACACGATGTAAATCGAATTCTAAGCAGAGCTTCTGACAGTAAATGCGTTACGTTGGCCTGTCGGTATATAACTGATTTTAGTCCATGCGTTTTGATATATTAGAATGCACATAATCAGTCAATAATAATTACGCTGACACTATAGAGGCCGCTGGCTTAAACTACGCCAACAACATATGCTACACGACAGGTGTGATTAAATAAACAAAAAACATAATTAATCAACCTTTTTATCGCAGGATCGCGATCGTCGTCGGGACGATGAGAAGCGCCGTGAAGACGATCGTCTCAAACGAAGAGAAAAAGATGGTCGAGATCGCGACCTTGATCGGGGTGGCAGAGAACGATCCATTGACGGCCGAGCTAGGGGGCGAGATGATCGGGACGACATGAGGCGAAAGGATCGCGGCTCAACGGCAGATTCCGAGCTGTCGAGAAATCGTCGCAGCAGAGATGTTCCAAATGAAGCGGACAGGCGCCGAGATCGAAAACGAAGCCGCAGTCGAGACGATCGAGAAGATGAACGTGGAGGCGGAGCAGGAGCGAGTGGACTGGGCTCTAAACGACGAAATAGACGACTCGCAAGGGATTCATCTTCGGAGGACAGCGATGAAGAGATTAAGGATGAAGATGACGCGGATGAAGAGGAAGACCTCGATGAAGAGGCCTTGATTGAACGACGGCGTCGTCAAAGGCAGGAGCTTGTCGCCCGCTTAGAGGGTGGTAAAACGGGCGGTAAAGGTAAAGACAGAGATAACCACAGCAGTAAAATAACATCGTTAAAGGATCAAGTTTCCGACGAGAAAGTGGAGCCTCCGGAAGCAGCTCTTAGCGTTAGCGCTAGCTCGCCTGGTACTTCAACACAGGATGGGACGAGGTCACATGAACGGGCAAGAAGTACGAGTCCTCAACCGGTCATCCTTGATTCAGATGGAGATACGACATTTAGTAAGGTGAGTTAAAAAAAACTAGTTACGTCCCACACTTTGTAACTATGAGATGATAATTGAGACTCGCTTTACCGTGAAGTTCTCTCAGCAATACTTTTAGTAGGCAAATAATGTTTTGTAGGTATCAGTATGAGGTAATTTTAGTGCAAGATTAACGCTTTACGTGTATCATTTTGTTTGTTCTTTGTGGATTCCAGCTGGGCGGCGTTACCGGCGATGATGACGACTCCGATGACGGCCGACGTCGTAGCGGGTCCGGGGATGAAGAAAACGACATGTTTTCAGAGCACTATAATGCTTCGTCACCGAAGTCAAAAGGACTCAACCGGTCTCTTGCAAACGAAAATCCGGCTCTCAACGATAATTGGGATGATGCCGAGGGTTACTATCGGGTACGCATCGGAGAAGTGCTTGATCAACGGTATGAAGTTTACGGCTACACTGGGCAAGGTAGGACCGTACTAGAGGTTAAAGACTTATAATAAATTAGGTATGCACTATTATCATGTCGTGGATCATACAAAACAACCGTGTCGTTGAATGTAGGTTTGAAAATGCGTTCTCTTTTATTATACCACGTAAAGGTGATCGTTGAAATCGGCAAAGCGAGAATCCTGTTGCTTACCAGTATTTCAAGTCTGAATTTGCGCTTAGGCAAAAATCTTGTGGGATGCACTGCTTACAATATAGAATGTATTAAGTTGCATCTGCCATAGATAATTAAAATCACTGAATCTACTGATCATAACGGACTAAAATGTTCCGACTCAGTTTTGTGCTCACGAAAGAAGCGTCTCGGCCTTACCTAAATATATTTCTTCTTTCTCATTTCCTCTATTTGTTCACAGGTGTTTTTTCTTCGGTAGTGCGTGGACGAGATAGGGCACGCGGCAACATGGAAGTAGCTATAAAGATTATACGAAACAATGACCTTATGATGAAGACAGGCCAGAAGGAGCTCGAGATTCTCAAAAAACTCAATGATGCTGACCCTGATGATAAATATCATTGTCTTCGGTTGTATAGAAATTTCTCACATCGCCAGCATTTATGTCTCGTTTTTGAATCGCTCAGCATGAACTTACGAGAGGTGAGCACTGCCTTTGCGTGAATAGATTGACGTAACAAATCAAGGAGTAGTGCTTTCCAGATATATCGTCCATATTTAAGTCAAAAGTCAATGACTCTGTGAACTTTCAATGCAAGTAAAATTTAAGTGTATGTATTAGACCTTTGCCTATTGAAACTGCAATTGCCAATAGTTCTATTTTAATCGTAAAAGGAATTCGATATTGTAGCAGTGATTTCTCATAGATATTAAATCTAAACTCATCATGGACAAAAAATACATAATTAAACTTGAAGTTATGTAGTTATTTTTATCTTCGTAATCATTATGTGATTTTCAGGTTCTGAAGAAGTACGGCAAGGATTTGGGTTTACATATTAAAGCCGTTCGATCGTATGCTCACCAGCTGTTTCTCGCTTTGCGATTACTAAAGAAATGTAACATTTTGCATGCTGACATCAAGCCAGATAACATCCTGGTTAATGGAAATAAAATGCAGCTAAAATTGTGTGATTTCGGTTCAGCGTCGTCCGGGACAGACTCGGAGATCACACCATATCTAGTGTCGAGATTCTATCGAGCACCCGAGATTATACTTGGAATTGGACATGATTTTGGCATCGATCTCTGGTCGGTAGGCTGTACCTTGTATGAACTTTACACAGGACGAATCATGTTCGCTGGCAAAACAAACAACGAAATGCTGAAGATGTTCATGGAGCTTAAAGGTCGCTTCCCCAACAAGTTAATCAAGAAGAGTCCGGAAATGCTGCGTAACAAACACTTTGACGCAGATATGAATTTCATGTACTATGAAGTCGATAAAGTCACAGAAAGAGTAAGTTTTAGTAAACGCGGATTTAAGGTTTAAAAATGCAATAGGTACACAACAGTGTGATACAGTCAAATAGGCCTTTGGACTCAGCAAGTGATTGTAGTAATTTTACATAAGACAAAATCATACATGCGCCGTGTCACATTGGTATATATTACAAACTGTGTTCTATTTTTATTTGAGTTTCTGTTCCAATGTATTATGATATTCAATCACTTCAAGCCTGATATACTCAAGTACTGCTACACTTCGGCCACTCGTAAGCTTATATACTATCCATGCTGGGTGCGGTTTTGCTTACAGGAAAAGGTTATTGTAATGAAAAACATTAACCCTGCACGTGACCTTGGTAACGAACTTACCGGCTCAAACCCACCAGCCCAATTAAACAAAGTAAGTAGCTATGAGTGGAATATTATTTGCGCGTTAGAAATGTGTAATGCTTGAGAAATAGGAGCGTTTCCATGTTCATGACAGATTTTGCCCTTCTTAGCCTATTCCTCTGTCATTTATAATCAGCACTACATGATCGTTAATACTAAAACAGAAACCTTATATCGGAGAATACTTCGTGCAGAACATGCTCTCAACTGCAAATAGGTGGTTCAATTTAAATGAACTTCAGTTCAGTATCTTTATATCCGTTAACCATATATGTTAACATATTTTTATTGCTGTCGCAGGTACAGCAACTGCGTGAACTTCTCGATAAAATCCTTGCCATCGATCCGTCGAAGAGATTAACAATCAATCAAGCGATGCAGCATACCTTCATAACCGAGAAGATTTAAGAAGTGGTAAAGATATCTTTTGTTTCGGTAAAAACCGAAACACAACAACAAGCACAATGCCCTAAAAAAGTAAATGCGTTCATGGCTCAGAAACTAAAATATTAGTTCGCCGATTAATGAAGGATGAAATAGTAACTGAGCTGTGGCACGAAGGGATCCCCGTACACGAATTTATAACGCGTCACTACTGATACTATTATTACGGTAACGATTATTCTCAATTATTTTTAATAGTTTGCAAACTCGCATCTTTGTAGACTCATTGTGGAGAACGGCTGGGGAGGAGAAACAAGAGTTTGAATTGAATGACAGAAAGCCAGTGAAAAGAGGTAAATCAAATTTTGATAGATATCGTAATAGTTGTCGCAGCAGTTGTGTAAGCATTAATCAGTTCAAAACGTATGAAGAGCTTTAAGGCTTGAAAAGCAATTGAGACAAGATACAACGCTTGACGCAGCATAGTAGCAGCATTGTCCTTAGCGTATATATTTCGATAGCGTAAAAAACAAGCGAACAGGGTAGATGATTGTTTTTGTGGGGGGGGGGGGGCAATTGATGGTTGTTTCTAAATTTTTTTGCAAATTGCAAGGCAGGTTGGTAAAACAGATGAGTACTTTATGTTTGTCGCGCTTTTCATTTACACAAATTTGAATAATCTTTTCCACACAGACATTTTGGTACTCATAGAAAGGTTGGTTTTCTGTTTTGCAAATTTTACACTGCTTACCTTTAATTTGCTAGGTTTGAGTTAGTGAATGTGGGGTTGCACATGTGAGTTCTCCCGAACATGAATATAAAGGAGTTAATGTAATGAAAAAATTGCCGTGGCAACATACGTGATTACACCTATATAGGCGCCGTATCTGATTTAATGTTAATGGTTATTAAATGGGGATAGATTATTGTATTGGGACAAATTATTGGAATAATGCGAGATAACTAAAACAAATAATAGCACCAGAGTAACCTTTTAAGGTATCTTGAGTAAGGTTAAAAAAAAGACAGGAACTTGGAATGGCTACCACTTTTTAGGTGTTCGAATACATGTTCTTAGGCTAGCATGAAAACCCCACACGTTAGGGGCGGGGTGGGCACGCTGTTGACGAAAAAATGCCCTGTGGTGCGTTGATATGTGTTGTGTATTAACTGATAAATCCCCAGAGAAAAAGATAAAAAAACGAGAAAAGAAACTGCCAGAAAACTAAGGAGTATTTGGTTACGTTATGAGTCTGTTTCGAAAGTTTATTCGACCGTTATAAGGCGGCACTTCTGATTCTCGTGAACTCTCTTCACTAGTGGCTGGACTCTGAAGCAAATAAGCGTGCTTGATCCCTAGAGAGAAATTCCAGCTTGTCGAGCTGGTGCAGGATAAAAACCGAAGGAACACCGACCCGATGCTATGTACAGAGTATATTGTGTATTTAGTAGAAATAAGTAACAGACTGAAAAAACAATAATAACAGTAAGAACAACAATAAAAAACAACGGTAAGCTAATAATATGAACACCTCTAGGAGGTGTATGGTAGTATAATGCTTTGTGACCACTGAATTGTGGTCCCACGCCTGTTGGACTGTATAAATATATTGACGCTAAAAAAAAACGAAGGAGACGATTACTAAATAAATAAAGAACTTTATTATTTAGACATTATATGTATTTGTCTCTGTGGCGTTGAATTTACGGTAAATGGACTCGTAATTATATGGAGTAAAATTCAGGGATTATTTACCGATCCATAGCAGGATCTAACACAAAATGTACCAATATTTTCTCGTTAGGCTTCAATAAACATTGACCTAGATTTTTTACAATTTCTAGATTTTCTGGAATATATTTGCGTAGTACCTTAATTCTAATGACCGCAATGCTGGGTAGTTTTTACATAATTTTATACGACAGCTTTTTTCAACAGATAACTGGGGTGGCTGAGTGGTATATGTTACACTTTGTAATCATTTATCATGTCGGTTCGATCCTAACGTTCTTAACGTAGTTAACAACCTCTCGTAAAGGAAAAGTAATGTGATATTTTTTTAGTTTTGCGTAAAATCAAAAAATTATTCTCTTCTCGGCTTAATAATCTACTGACCTGATTCGCGATGCGTTTTTAGGTAAAATTATCCATCAGTAGATAATTTCACTTTAGACTTTGGGTAGGGACTGCACAAATATACTACCTAGAAACACTACCTTATAACGTAAAACGTACTTGATCCATGTTCACATGAACTGCTATCTTTTGTTAACTGGTTCTAGGATCATCAAATGGCCAAATATACATTCGTACGGTATGACAAGGACCAAGCTTACCGGTTAATTTTTTTTGGTAATTTTGCCATTGTATTAAGTGAATAGCAGGCCGTCGAAGAAGCAGGATATAGATAATCTAGTATATGAGTGCATGGAAGTCGTTGTTTCTTCTTGTGAGAACTCTTGTGAGAATCGTGTACCTATACATACAAAAAAATGACTTGTACCTCGTGACACAAAGGAACTCAAAAATAGATTGAGTAGCTATACTACTCCAGTGGCAGAGCATAATCGTACATAGCAGAAACCATTATTTTAAAGAAAAGAGTGCGGCATAAGTGGTGTTTGCGAGAGCAGGTAGTTCTGCTTAGACGTCGTTTGAAAGCATTGCGACTGCCAAAATGTGAGAGGCTAGGAAGCGAAGTAGTTCATACATCACAATGCAACATAGCTGTTATTACGCAACAACATCAAACAGCACAGGTCGTAGCCACAGCGGTCGAACTGATGATCGTATCGATGGCTACGATATTTGTGCTTAGGATATGTGTTTATACATACAGATATAATACATAGATGCACGTAAACATAGACACGTGCACAGGAACGATTAATGTGTTTCGAGGTTTCAGTTATGTATAGGCAACGGACAATCGTTTAATAATATACAAGACTTTTTTGAAATATCGTATCGAATCGGAAATTAAGCAAATGCCAGTGCCTATCGGTAAACACATTCTTAAATATCCGCACATACAACAAAATCTATCCGAATGTTTGTTTTCACCAAAATATATATATATAAGTATATATAAATATATATATATATATATATATATATATATATATCTGACGACGCAGCAAGATATAATGCTATATACCGCAATCCTTATTGAGCGCCAGCGCAACAAGAATACGCTCGAGTGAGCGTTTGAGTAGCTATTTGCATGCGTCACAGAGTTACCTCGTCTCAACTCGATTAATAGCTCACTGTCGTCTGAAACAGTTATATTTGATTTAAATGCCATTTTAAACGACATATTTAGTCTTCGGTAACAGTAAACCGACCTATCTTACATTGTATCTTCAAACAATTTCCAGAATAAATTCACCCGGTACCAAGGTGTGGAGAACCCTTTTTCCCGCAAAACGTCGAGCCCGATTGTAATCAGAGCAAAGATTTTCTATGTGACGTTCCTATGAGTAGCTGTTTGTTACGACTCCTAACGATTCGTTGTTTGAGAAACATTTCGACAAAATGTTGGTGTCTAAGGCAAAATATAACAGACAATTTTTTGTAACAGGATTCACTTGCGGTTTTAATCTTCGCTGTTCCACAACTTCATGTTTATGACAGGCATTCCTTGCATGACGCGTAGTTATATGTTTATATACGTAGGGAGCAAGTATTTCCTCGATATAATTAAAAAGCGCTTGAGTTTCGCAACTGTAGTGTTATTCAGCTAAAATATAACGCACAGCATTTTGTTAACCTAAATAACATGACTCTTTTTATTTAAATGGAGTTAGGTCTTGATCTATAGAACTAAACATGGATGGCGTATTCGCTGTAGCCGGAACATCTACGTTGGGAAGATTAGGGTGGTCACAAATTTCCATGTGTTCTTTCTACTTTACCGAAGCGTATTCATGCTGATGCTTTATGTAGAGGTGTGATCTTCGAAGCGACGAATCGAATCACTTCTAAGGACTTGACGTCGGCAACGGCCGATATCAAGGTAAAATTTCTTGTCAGGCAAAATGGTTTACTCGTAACGCGCTCAGGGGCGTTAAACGGCGATTCGCTATCTAAGGGGAATCAAAAGTATTGTTTGGCTAGCAAACGGTGTTGTTTCTATAGAGTGAGTTGCTTTTCTCAAAAGAAATGCATCGTTCGTTGCTTAACCTATCGGCAGAGCGGAACTCCGAAATCGGTGTCCTGCTTGTTAAAGTTTAGCGCTTCTTCAATTGCAAGAGGAGTCATTTGAAGGCAAGCCTCATGTCAGTGGCTTGACATCATTTGCCTGCTTGTATTACCTAGTGACAGGCGGCAGTCCTGCGTTTTGACGAGTTAATGTGTTTTACCTATAATCAAGCCGCACTAATCCCGTTTCCTTCTGCTTGTGTTGTCGTGGTGGTACTATTCGTTCTTAAAGCTATCAGAGCAGTAAGGATCGTGCTTCCAAGTACAGAAATGACACTTACCTATAATTGTTGGCTGCTCATTAGCGTAATTTGTGCAGCATAAGCGTATCTGAGGGTGCCACCAGTTGATCTCCATTAACACTATGTGGTATTGTTCATTTCAAAACAGTACATCTTAATATATTTACTAAAGGTTTCGTATTATAATATAATATAATAATAATAACATAATAATAAAACGAAAATACGTAAGTAAAACATTTAATTCCATTATGTACTTAATGCACGTACAGACCACTACAGTACTGCTGGGTCTGAATTAAAATTTGCCGCTGAAAAATGTGTCAAAGAGGCCGAATTGAAGAACGCCAAAAATCGCTGCTTTGCGTTGAACTAATGGTACAGAAATAATAAATAAGTGAAAAAAGAAGGTTTTTTTATAGTCAAGGAACATATTGCATAAGATCAGGTCATTCATCAAGCAGTCCTTATCGTATATTTATAATAGAACCACTCTGCATATATATATAATGCCTTTAATTTGATAGTGTATCCCTTTCCTATAGCATAAGGCCATTATAATGATCGTAGCCACGAGCCTGACCATCACAGCTACGAGTACTGTCTGACACGTGCACGGCTAATTATTATATTATATTAATTATTATAACATGGACTCCAGCTGACAGACATAACTCAAAGTGAGGGCGTCATATTCGATCGCTGTTGTTACCACAACAGGAGAGGCGATACATGCACGGGACTGTACGCTATTGACAGGCAACTTGAAGAAAAAGACAGGCTGATAAAGATCTGTGCTTGCCGATTGTCTTAGATCGCACACTGCTACAAGGAGAAGTACCACCATCAAAAGAACATTATAAAAAGTGCTATTTGCACACGTATACTAATACGAATATATGAAACTAAAGCCTCTTACTGGTTTTCTAAAACATTCATTAGTATTAGCGCATCTATGTCAGCGTGGCCTGAGCTCCTAATCGCACAACGGATTCTATCAGACCAGATTAGCGGACTTATTTAACTGTGTTTTACTTGGTTGTAGCAAAACGAAGAAAAGGTTCGGCAACCGAATTAAAATAAAGCGTCAGTTCTTTAGAGAAGCCATTAGTGTAATAGGTACATTGGTTTAGTACATCATTCAGTTTCAAAATCCGCTTCAGAGGCTGCACACGAGCCACCAGCCATGGTCGATAAAACCAAAGCAAACTAGCCATAAAATACCAACAACTTCCGTATTACTTATCGGTTCTTTCTATAAATTATAATTAGATACTGTGGATAATAAACGTTATGTGGCGGAACTGATAGACGTGCACAGGTTTTGTTAGACGAATTTTTGTTACTATAGTTTATTTCTATAATAAGTTTTTGTTAGTTTTTGATTTTTTCCTGACGAATTCTTGGAACTGGAGCCTTAAACTGATGATATTTTTTCTATTTGAATTTGATTAGTTTTTGCAATCGCAAAGAAGGGCCAAAGCAGAAAACAAAATGGACCTGTCCAAGGCACGTTTAAGATTTGGGATAGAATAGATACAAAATTGACTACTGGTAGCTTATCTTTACGTAAAGTGACTATAATGAGTACTACATGAAAATCGTTATAGTAAAGATGATAGAACCATAACTATATTTTTAGCGTAGGCTAATACACAAAAAAATTGCATTTTATCTTCGATCCTTCTTCGATCAATTTACCAGCTTTCACTTGGGAATATACAGACATCTGTGTAGTCGCTCTTTTGCCGCCAATAGTTGAAAATCCTTCTTTACAGAATCAAACTTTTTTCTGTCTAAAACGTAAGTTTGTTCCCATGAAGCCATTATGAAGCTGTTTCAATATAGTGCATAAGGTGTATATATAAGGCGTACTAGTAAAAAAAATAAGGCGGTCTGTTATAGAAAAGTACGGATTTTAATGGGCTTGGCGCCAAAAATATAGTTTAACAAATAAAAATATATATGCAGGGTGATTCATAAGTCCTTATGCCCTTAGAATAATAGACCAATTGACAGTGATCCATTGTTCGTTAGTAATCATCAGCCTACACTCTAATCTACTTAAATGATAGCTTATAAATATAATTGTAGACTTCCGATCCAGGCAGTCAACAATCAAATCCGAAATTGTGCTTTTCTAATAACAAATGACTGCTTTAGATTTTACCTTACGTATATTGCTTAGTTAAGGATTGTCTCAAACAACTGACTCCTTTTAGCACTAAACGACGTGTGTCTATGCCCGATTCTGAGCCCAAAATATCTCTCACACATGTCCCGCAGCCTATTAAGCAGACACGTAGCTACTGGTGGATAGTGCAGCGGAACATGTTTGCCTATTTAGCATAAAATGATGTAAGGTGGTCTAGGTTTAACATTGGGCTTAGGCACTCTTCGTTTTTCGCCAGAAGCAGCCGAGGGCTGTTAACTCTGGATATCAAAGAATAGAGCGAGGATAAAAGATGGACAAATTATCTTTTTGAGTCCCTGAAATGCGCACCGGTAGTGTTTTAGTTCAATTTCAAGTTATCAGAACGATCAGTTATCTGGGGGTCAAGTACGGAAAACGAAAATATAATTCTATCGCCAGGTTAGTATCTGACAGATCCTTGCATCAGCGTTTTGCAATATCTGCTGCGATTAAGTTCTCGCGTTGTAGATTTTTTTCCGCTTTGCTCGTCTAGTAATTCTTAAAACCAATTTAGCATTTTGCTTGATAGAGAAGACTTTCTGCAGCCTATGAATAGCTATACCTAAATTCATATTTCTTTGAATTTATAGCTAAAGTATGGAAGTGGCGATAAGTCTAGATCTAGGAGCTCACGTAACAGCGGCTGAAGCTAGCATCGCCGATGGCGAACGCGGACGGCTCGGCAACCTAATAATCATAATTGCAAAACTGTTTTTTTTTATTAATTTTATAAATAGTCCAGTTGAAAGTATGATTTTGTATTCTCGGTTTCCAAGACATTGCACTACAATGAATTATCTAAGAGTGATAATAACTTCAGCATGAGAAGGTGGTCAACCTTTAGTTTACAGAAAACGAGGGGCAGTACCGTAAATTTACTTCATTTACATTTCTCGTTATTGCGATTCACCAATGGTGTCATTCAATAGATCCATCTAGCCTTTCTAGTAGTTCTTTAACGATAGTTAAATGAACCGATTAACTATCTGCGTTATGGTAGCGTCTCGTGTAAAGGTATCCGATCGTAGACCTACCATCGTGCATCAGCTAATTGATCTTAAAACTAGCATTTATACATATAATATTTTCATAGGTTTGCATGTATTCCAGCGGATCTAAATTCGAATGTGTATAGTTCCCTGTGGCTGCTTCTTGGCGCCTCTGAAGGACAATTGTTTTCAGACTAAAATTCATGCAATCGGCTGGGCATTATTGAGAGCTCCCAGGGAACAACTGTTCGCTCATACAGCGAAATATACTGTCTGGTTTCGTCCCCCCTAAGACAGAAGAACGAAAGGCTCAATAAATAAACGTCACCAAAAATTTCTATTTAGACATTTATTATGTTATAATATTATCACTTATTTGTACGATGAAGAAATATGAAATGCCCATCATTTATAACATTAATTATTATAACAATTTGCGTGATAGATCTTCGTCACACTTCGCTTCAGACGGTTTGCGTATGTTAGCCCTAGGTATTCTACCTAACGTCGTCATATGTCATATACCATAGTGCACTCATGCTCAGCTGGTCAATTACGTAAGCGATACGTGATAACAACATATTTACACAAACCTACCCTGGCCTTTTCTGAAGGCCTTGTTGTAAGTAACAAATTAATGAAATAAAATGCTGTGGAATAAATAGCTCATGTTAAAAATGAACGGATTCGAAGCTTGCATATCTACGGTTTCTCAAATTGACGATTGATTTAACCAAGGTATTTCCTTATTTTAAAACGATTTACCTAACTGTTCTCATAAAGTTTAGTTCTCACGAACGATACGGTTAAAATGACTTCATTCATAACCAAAGACTTCAGCAAATGCCTAGATATAGTTTCTTTGAAGTGGCATTTCACATCTATCGTTTTTTTTTTTTTATTAACACATACATATATATATATGGAGTCGTCAAGAAGATACCGCTCGTTCTTCTAGCTAGATGGCTCTAAAATCACATACTTCAATTTCTATCGGAAGTCGTGTCGGATCAGCGCTTATGTTAGTGGAAAGCTAAAATTTAACAGTAGTGGATGTGCTAGAACTATTGAAATGCTTAGATTCAGACTTAAGACAGAGTTTCTTGAAATAGAGAAAAATATCGGCAAAAACTCACTATATTTTTCGTGTTAATTATGATAATGGCACCAATGCTGTTTAGGTCTATGAAAAGAAATGTGTATAGTCCATGATCCGCATGACTACAATTTTTTGTCATCCGTGATCAATCGTTTTAAAAATGTGTCAACTTCATTTCATTTCTATAAAGTTTGGCAGATGAAAATACGATCGAGTGAATGCTTGTGCGTCAGTTCATACGGAACCCAAATGTCGAACTTTTTTGGAGAATTATAACTCTAGACCATTCAGCTAGAAAAACGCTTAATATGTTTTCAACAACCAACAAGTATTAGGGTCATCTGTATTTGATGCATTGACTTTATTCAAATGTTTGTGCTACAATTAAGTGGTAAGAGCAGTGAACAATTTCGCTTATAATACGAACCAACATAGGATGCTGTTTTTGTGATCGATTTTGGAGACGAAAAATCGAGCTTAGGTCGAAAAACATAATTTTGCGAGGGTATCGTTCTTTGCATAGTAAGCACTGTGCACCTTTCAAGGTCCTTTTTGCCTCATCTACTGCAATAGTTTAGAACGATTAAGGTTCTACCTGTTTGTTAATGTCTTACGCCACTTACGTGAGTTCATTCGGAATAAGTTACAAGAAAACTAAACACCTAAATTTGCTGTATTTCGCAAAATGATACAAGCACTATAGATAATTAACGGCTAATTAAGAGGTGAGTAGAACGTAAAAGCAAGGTATTCTTATGGCATATCTTACCACGAAGACAAGTTCGAAAGTTTTTCATAGCCGAAACTGAATAAATTTTACTTTGAGAATATCTAGCTTTAACAAGACGATTCTATGTGGCAATAGGCATTCAAAGGGATGAAATTATGGAAGAGGAAGTTTGATGGACGCGCAGCTTCCCACTGAGAGTTCACATAAAAGCCGCCCTTCTTATGAGACCTATCGTTGCTGAAGTTTTTTGTAAACCAAAATTTAGAGCACTTGTACAATTCAGAAGCTAGAAGAATTTTTTTTTACATAGAAGTTTGAAAACTACGTGTGATTTATATGTTAACGTTTTCAATATTTTAATACGATTTTCATACTGTATCTATTTGTGAAACTTGTGTTCTTTAGTCCAAAATTGATACATTACAAATGGATTACTTATATATATATATGTATCTGCTACGGACTGAAACAAAAAACACCCTGTTGACTCCTTGTTTCTGTCGTTCGTTAAATACTTTGTCAGCTTTGCGTTTATTTGGCACTCATATATACAATACATTCTTATTGTCATTCGTAACGATGATGGGCAACTTAAAAAGTCTAGATAATCTTGACAACTTTGCCGAAAGACCCGAGGAACGAAATAAGCTGAATAATCTGCCATTTACGTTTTTCCTAAAGGAAATTCGTATACGTTTTGTTCTAAGTATGTGCGCTGGCCAATCTATTTTATTGCTAAACCGGTAACCTGACCCGTCACCACCCTGCATTTATCAAGTTTTATCAAGCCTATATTCGGGTCGCCTTCTATACAATGTGTACAGCTTAATAAGTAGCGCTGCATATCAAAATGACGACGCCCTCATATGTAGAATCAACAAACTCGTTTCCTCTTTAGTTTAAGTTGTTTCGAAAATAGTCCTCAATCAGGAAAACACCGCTAGTACAGTCATAAACAATGAAAATCCTTCGTAGGTGTATTCTATGCATTTTCTTTCCAAACATACGATCGATACGTACTGATATATTTATATCTTTGCGTCAAGTACGACTAGAATTCAAGATTTCTCATATCAATACTATTGTGTGAAAGCCGGGCCGGCGATTGGCGATACGACGACGCCAGCAAAACGGGTGATTTACGGGGACGTCGAACTTGACAGAATCAATGCCCAATGGTTGATTATTACTACTGTGTGAAAAACAAGCGTTTTTCTATCCGCCCTGTAGTCGCAAACCTCATCAACGCTCTTTATATATATATATATATATATATATTGTACAATGTAATTCGGCGGTAAACAGTATCTTCGATGTATTGCTTTGATGCCACATGAAAATGTTGCTTCTACAGTTACAGTATTGCCCATGAATGTGCTTAGTACTTCGTGTCAAATACGTACAACCTTTATGGAAATCTTACGTTCCTCATACAAATTATAAAATCAACTGGAATTACGGTCAATACTAACTATATTGTATCTGAAGGGCTATTGGACTTGATCACGCTGTGCATCAAAGGCATAGCGGCAAGTCGAGCCTTCAGCGACCGCGGGTTAAGGGATACTCAGATAACGACAGGCTTAAAATTTCCTGCAGTATCCTAGATTTCGATGTCATTGTGAAACCTTTTTAAGCCTGTGTAATGCTTCTGGCAAGGTGTCATTAGCTACTTGGGAAAGAGAAGCTTGTTTTGCCAGATCTATTAAAATGGAAAGCCTCTCGACTACGGAGGAAAACCTCTTATGACACTGTTGCGTCTATAGGTGCCGTTTTTTCCAAAGAATGCCAAAAAATAATAGAAAAGAGGGTAAAATTTCGAAACCTACGCTACTGGCGCGGACTTAATTGTTAACCTTCTTGGATGCTAATTAACTAGTTGTGCTCGCTTCAAAGGCTTACCTGAGCAGGAAGAGCACTTTTAATGGGTTCTTAGAAATAACTAGACTTTTAACAATAGCAGCTCAATAGAGAGTGGCCGAATGATGATAAAGTCAGTCTTTTACATATTCATATTAAATTCTGGCCTCTGTTTTGGTTACCATTTTTTGACATAGATGTATGTGTGTGTTTGTGTGTGTGTGTGGGTGTGTTTTTGTGTGTGTACATAAACCATTTCTCTTTTCTTGTATCCAACTTGTACTCTGAATATTGATTACGGATTTACCAGTCTATATTACCTTAAGTATCTATCCATACGCCATGCTATAACAGTTGTCCGTGAACTCGAGCTAGGGGTCCAGAAATGACAGATCCATGATAATAAGCCTGAGCTATGCGTGAACAATAATGAATCTATTGTGACGAAATTATGCTATTCCGATACACATCAAAGTTCACGATACTGGCTCTTACATCATGGCAGCCTTTCCAGTTAACTTCGGCAACCATTTGATCACAAACACAGCGGAGTACGTAAGCGCATAGCGGCAGCAACGTCGAATAATAACTATGCCGTTGATGCGCACAGACAGTCCAGCTGAAAACCCTGGGTCGACAATTCAGAAAACAACCGCTTTGCGATGTGAGAGCTGCATGTTGGGGTTGTTGTTTTCTTGCGAGAGCTTATGAGGGATCATTTGACGAAGCGGTGCCGGTGGATGTGGGATGGCCGATAGCTGGGTCGTCAAGGCCATATTGCCCAGGGACGTAAACTTGAAAAGACCACCGGATATTGCGGGAAGGGAACGCGGCGAATCGGCGAGCAGATACGAACAGTAACTGAACCTGTAGGAATCATAATGCAAGTCAACAGTGAGAGATAGAACCTAAAGAACGGGTTGCTTAGATCTGAGAAGGGTACCGCGACAAAGCGGTGTATGTTGCAACGCGTAAATCCAGGTAGAAAAACTGCGAAGGTGTCCTTTGTCTATGTCTGTGCTTTTCAACAAACAGAACGTATGTTCCCAAAAAAAATAAATATAACAATTAGCATCTGCACGGGTTCGGTTTAAAAAGGGTGAATCGAAAATCCATACATATCGAAAATCCATACATTTGTTTATTTACTAACCTTCGGCTATCATTAATGCCTGCTGTGGGATTCTGGCGCAGGTTTGGTACCGTTTTCGGTATCAGGGACCGATCCTGACACAGCGCGCTCATGAAAGGCAAGTTATGCTGTGAGGATTTGAGCCGCACCTCATCTAGAACATCTGCGGAGTCCAACGAGTCCGAACTGACGTTTACGCTTGCCGCTGGTGCTGCGATGGAGCTGTACGACGTTAGATCGCATTGCGACTTTGCCAACTGAAGTAAGAAGTGGACAATTTCGTTTATATGGGCAATCTAAAACACTTAATCGTGAGACTTCTGGCAACGAATCATACCGAAGCATCATCTGAACAGATGTGAAGACCAATTCGTTGCCTTCAGCCATCCTATTAAGATTCAAATGTATCATATCCGAAATGAATAGATTTCTGTTTAATACAACACGAAAAATATTAACAAAAGCTGTGCAATTACTAACGTGTAATAGTTCCGGCTCAGAGCACACTTTGTTGTTCGGATTACGCGAAAGTGATGAAATGCCTATTTTGGTGCGCGGCTTTACCGGCGGAGGTCGCGGTTTTTGGTGGCCCGCAAACGACGTGCTCCGAGTAGCAGGTTGTGGAGCGCCACGAAGTTGCGCGTGCGGATTCTTCAGGTACAGAGGGGTGGCCTTCTGAGGCGTGCAACTGTCCGACAGATACTCCTCGGAATTGGCCTTCATAGCATCCACGTATGAAACAGCTATCCGCAAATCAGCTAAAAGATCCATCAGATCAAGGTCATGAACATGAAGCGTTTGTATCATTTCGAACACAAACTGTGAGCTGAATATTCTCCAATTACCGCATTGGTTCGTATGTAAGCCACCTCAGTTTATGCAAATTTTAATCCTAACCAAGATCCGCTATATATTTACGATCCTATTAGCGTTATTTTCGCTTCTACCCCCGTCTGACAAGCTCAAGAAACACTTTTTCCACTTCCTGGAATTTTACGGTTCAATGTTTACACTAATAGCGCCATGATATTATTCCTAAAACACGACTTTATACCTTGAATTTGATCATTATCTTGCATTAGCTACAAAGAAACTTACTTTGTGGTTTATGATGATGATAAAAGGAAGCATTGGCTAAGGCAATGTTATCAAGGCTGATCGCTTTATCCAACGTAGATGTTTCCGGCACGGACTTTAGCAACGACGTTGAGAAATTAATTTCATCAGTTGATGCGAGACACCTCGAGGAGTAACCGCTACCCCTATTAGTGATCACGTACGACTGCATCGCGTCGGGCGTGTTCGTTCCACGATGGCCCCCAGTAGCGGCCACGACATTTTTTGCTGAAAGCAGCTTATTATGATAGCTGAGATTGTGCTCAGATAGCGCCTTTTTGTTAAGGTTCTCCAGGGTGCCGTAATCAGAGTAGCCGCCGCTCGTGTCTTTGTTCAAGTGTGATGATGGTAATGATTCGAGGGACACAGCGGCTGGAGCGGGAGAGTCGTCCTCTTCTTCGCTTTCTGGCGACTGTGGTTTATCGGACATCACGCCCGATGTCGTATTTGATGAGCTGCTGCTTATTACTGATATCCGTGGGTCGCTACCGCTCAACGCTGGCGAGCCATGCCGACTCAATGCGCTATTTAATGCGTTAGTACCGAGAAGCGCGCTTTTAACTGAAGTTTGTGTCCCACCATGGTGGACGCATGGACGGACTGTTTCGTCCGGCTCGCAAATGTACGACTCACGATACTTGGTCACTCGGTTGCGACGTTCGACATTCCGGAGCTCCGCTAGACGCGGCTGCATCACCATATTGAACTGGTGAGTACGTTTACACAGTTCAAGAATAGAGCCGGCGACCGCCTCAGAGGGGCAGTTATAGACGAACTTGAGCAACTGGCGACACCGTCCCTCCAGGCGAACCTCGAATCGCCGCCGGTCAAATGTCAACTTCGAAATGTCCGACCAGGGAAATACCGTCTCCCTTGTGATGACAACGTTACAGCTTTGACAAGCTAGAACCGGTGTTGTAATCGGCTGATATACCTGAATTCCCTGTGCTGACACGCCTAGTAAAGTGAAGTCAAAGTTGGACTTCTTCTGTTGTACCCGATAAACATGCATTGCGAACTCTTGTGACTCCTTGATGAACGCCAGTTGTGCCGACCCTCGATTGAGGTTGCGGTGATCCCGATGCATGAGTGGCAAATTAGCAACAATAAATGACTCGCCAACGGTCTGGACAATGTTCCAGGGAAAATACTGGTTAGGTTGAAAATATCGACCTCGATGCCTCGCCGGATCGTAGTTCCCGAGGTCGGCCTGGAGAGCTAATGATGCCAGAATAAATGCTTTCTCCTGACTCATAGCCCAGTCATGAGCCAGCAGATTCGCACGGACATGTTGATAATAATGCTGACACGCTACCCGATCTTGCTGGACGAACATCATACAGTCTACAAAATACTGGACCCGCAAGTGTAACGTGATCAACGGTCGACCGTGACCATCCAGCCCAGCTGAGGTCGGTCCCTTCCATCCTTTAGGCGCAAGCTTCGCCAGTCGCGCCCCCTGTTCGACGAAACAGAACTCCGGTGACTCGCCAGTTACGGCTCCTGATTGCACCTGCTTGGCCAGGCCAAACAGTTGCGAGTCAACAATGCCCAGGTAACAGCACAGCTGATCGAAGATGTCCTGCACTGTGCATTTCAACTGCAATGCCAATATGGAAATAGATACGAATGTATGTCATACGTGATCCTGAGAATGGCATATGCTAGCTAGAAGAATTGGGAAATGAGTGACTGGCATAACTAAATAATAACAATAGGTTAGCCATGTAGGAAAATGGTATCGTAATATTATTTTGACCGTAAGCGTCCTGTTATGTGTCCTTCCAGGCAGCCCAACGAATGATTTTAGATATTTGGATAGTCCCCTGTAGCATATAGTAACATTGAAAGCAAATCGGCTAACGGACAGTTGACGATTGTTCTGTTTATTTACAAAGGCTTTTTTTACACTGTAATCATTATAATTTACCGAAGAATTTATCGGTTTTATTTATAAGTTACAATCGGTGATGAGAATGTGAATAGGACGAAGAGAAATACCAACCTCAACAGCGAAGTAGAGTGTCTGATTGGTGAGCAATTTGATGGCGACATATTTACGTCCCAGGGGCAACGGTGCGTCGCAACGGGTGAATACTGATCGAAGGTTTCGCCCCATCCTCCTGCCTGAAAGGTTCGAAAAAAATGAAATACTTCAATTAGAGTCGGTTTTTTCATGGATGTTGCAGACTTTTAGAATTTTTCGTGGCACATTTGGTCGTCGTGACGCGTAATTATACGTCTGTGGCGGGCAATTAATTAACCTTTTTTTGGTGTCTGTGCAAGCACAGTATTTTTCAGCCGACCCGGACATTCACTCCTGTTCAAACCGTTCAGAGCTGGGTTAATGTAACAGTATACTTTCCCAGCTATTACATTTTTTCACACATGAATTTGTCCATCCACTTAAAAATCGACTGTCAATAACTGAAAATTTGATTTTTGTTTTTGTCACTGACATGAATGGTAAAAATATCTTCGCCCATTACTCATTGTAAATCCTCAATTCTCAACATCAATTTAATACGCAACAAGTTCTCCAAGCATCCATTCCGAAGAGCTACACGGTAGTCGCTGGATCTTTTATTTATGCAGTCGATTTATGCAAAATAAAATTATTTATACTGTTTGAATCTTCTTTTCACACAACAATATGGTTTCGTAGATTTGGTCGTAGCATTCGATATCGTCATCTTCTACCTACAGCTTGTCATCGTTCAGCTCAGCGCTATATGCACATATATATATATACGAAACACCTAGTTGGCGTCGATTCTGTCCAGCTCCGAAAACAACCACTGGTTCGTCTATAACCGTGAGACATCGAAAATCCTTGCTTCCACCGTAGCCACACACCCCTTAGCCTCCATAAGCTAAACAAACGAAAGTAAATGAGAAAAAGGACCGGGCCAAATTGCGAGAGGGTATGGGAGAAATACATGTGTTGTTCTTAGTCTATTGTTTTCCCACACAGCAACGTTGCCGCATACATGACAACATGTTGATGCCGCCTGACGCTGGGATAAATAATCGAATTTTTTTTTTGGTCCTTTTCGGCAGGTGGCAGCTAACACGACGCAAAAATATCTAGCACCATTCTCAAGCTGCGTGGCGATCTATCGTCTAGTACAGATGATCCACACAGATAAAAATAGCAGTGGTTCTCTAGGGGGCTTTTATTCAGATATGAGCGCCTGCGTACAAAATCACAGGCTCTCATAGACTCAAGTCATCCGTAGTAGCATACTATAATCGCGTTGCGAAGAAATCATTTTAGCTGCCTCGCCCACCAATTTCCACCGACATCGTCTACCAGCTACGATATAGATATACGAATCAAGTTCGCCCCTAGGGATGTAACTTTTGCTGCTGTGCTTACGACCTAAGTTTAGCTGAACAACTATTTTGGACGACGCTGTAATCAAAGCTTGTAATTGCAATTTGCCGTTGTGCCACTGGCTAGGATCTAGGAAAAGAAGGATCAACAGGAACGGGCGCAGCAGGAAGTCAGTTTGCAGACACGTTATTATAGCGGGGCAGAACTCATTTGGCGGTCGAAGAGTCTTCACTTTAGTAGTATCTATCAAGTAGCAGAAAAGTGAAATGTAGTAAAAATAAAAGTAAAGTAATGATCGTAAGTGTCAAAAGTTTCGTTAAGACCGTTAACTAACTTTTGCCCTATTCTGCATATATCTATCCACGTATTGATTTTTTTTCCGTTACGAAATCGTTTTTTTATTATTTCATTTTCTTATTTATAATCGATTTCTCGATATTTAGAGGGTCATCCCAGGTACTATATGAGACACTAAACTGATACGAAAGTTGCCACTTAAACACAACTTTGACAGCTGTCTGTTTTTTTTCTATTGGAGAAATGGTAGAGGGCTGCCATAGAACTAGCTCGTGCCCAGCGATTTCCGCATGATCTCTTACGAAATAGTTAATTGCCCTTGGGCAAGCGGACGTTTGCCACTGGTTCAACGTAAGTTTTGTTCGACTAGAACGAATTATGGTAGCGAATAAGGGCAAATGTTAGTTGGCTTGGCAATGAATGGTGTTTTAAGATATTCCTTGAGCAAAGCGCTTAGATGTGCTACAAATCGGTGCGTGTGTGTAAGTGAGATAACTGTTCACCAATAGGCATACATACAGAGATCAGTTTCTCCCAACCATGAACGACGGCGCCAATTAGTTACAGCAATTTTGTTTTTCTTTCAAAAGTAAATGTATTTCTATGTCCGCATATGAATAAAGTCGAGTCGAGGCGTTACACGGTAACACGTCTTCTTCATTTGTTCAATTACAGGATACAAACAGGGCTGGTGACTTTCGTTCCGAGTTCCGACAAATTTATTGATTCAGGTCAGTTGTGTGTTTGTTTAACACTGTCAGCGTCTCCCATGCAGAGATAGCGGTGGTGTTCAAATGACGGTGACACCTTCACACTGATAAGTACGGCGGCTTCTATAGAGAAGATGTTTAGCTAGCACGATAAAGTCTGACTCTACATAAAAAGACGACAAAGGGTAGCGAGCAGCATCTCGTCATCAATTGTCTAACTATATCATCAATGGAAGGATTCCCGCTGGAATTTAATACAAATTCCTGGAGGAGTTATTCTCAGAGATGGCCTCACGTAGACAAAATGTACAGATAAGCGGAACAATCATTATGAGACAAGGAAATTTTAACTTATTTCAAAGCTAAAGAATAGACACGCCTTTGGAGGCCCGTCGCCGATACAATGCGACATCCGTCACGTAAATGCATGATCAGATGGACGTGCTCAACTTTGAAATAACATTGAATTAGATAGATAAGATACATACGCGAATGAAGAGGCAACTTGAGAATATTGTAAAATTGTAACAATGTGCGATGATACCGCAATATGGACGCATTCGCCTTGCGTACACGAAGGAATGAGTTGTACCATTTGAATATATCCTAAAATAATGAACCGGCATCTGCTTCTAATCCTGCGAATCTCTCGCTTTATATCAGGGATTAATGAAGAAATAAGATATTTTAACTATTGCCCGCATATTTTGGCTAGTTACCTTTGAAATACGCATAAATCAGAATGAATTTTGCGAGCGTGCCTTTTTCTGAAAGAGTATAATCTTGACGTAAAGGAAGCATACCTAGCCATCTTCTATGGGACGCTGCACTTCCATGTTGTCGTCTGGAAAATATATTCCGCTGGATTTCCTATCACAGCTTCGACTGGTAGGTATTAATATCATGTGACCTAAACTACTTAAAGCCCAACCTTTGTTTGCCGATAGCTGCTATTTGTCTTCGCCAGCTTCGGGTGTTTTCACTGATTATTATTCATCCCAACTTAGAGCAGCTCTTCAGAAACGTCGCAGAACAACTCGATCATCGTAGGTCTGCCGGCTACTACCGTTTCTATTCGATCGCTTGCCATTACGATCGATACAAGCTTACCGATATACTATTATCGTTACACGCACTACTAATAATAGCTGTTTGTTTTGATTGTTTACGCTTGTATCCGTTATTATTTCATGTTCAATTCATCGATTCTGCGCCTATGTTATCGTCTCAAGGCTACACACTGGTCGACTTGTTTTATGTCGAACATTTGCTTACTAGAGTCGCCGCCATCTAGCGGTCGCCCGCCATACGGCCTCTTATCCCATTCACTCGCCGTAACTATTTTCGATCGCATTGCTATCTAGCCATTAACCATAGCATAACTGTCCTATCGAGGCAGGACCTACGGCTAAGGTGCCTTCGAGCGGCAGGAGATAGAAACGCAGCGGCGATAGATTTCGATATACGCGCGCGACAGCGGGCGGAATCTTCTAAGCTGCTTCGCTTCCATCTTTCGCCTTTTGTCGATCGAATTTTTTTCTGACAAACAGAAAGTCGCTTCTGAAGGGAAGCGAGCGCCGCCAAAACATTGGCATCGATGAGGAGTCGATGGTCGCTAGAGGTACGTCTAGGCCGCCGCGTCTCTCTTCGATCTACGAATGAAATGTTATTGCTTTAGGGCAGTAGTAAATATATTCGTGTATTCGTATTTTAACAACAGCTGTCCCTGCAGCCGTCCCATACGCGCTAGCAGCGATGTGCACTTTTATTTAAGCAATTAATAATAATAGTGATGATTACCATTTTTTGCCCTTACGTCTCGTCATTCTTTCAACCATTATTTCCCCTTGTCGTACGCATGTGTGTGTTAACTGTTATTTGTCCCTGGCTCGTGTGAACACCAAATTGACGGGCCAGCGCGACGAAACCCAGGCGGAATCAAATTAAATAAAACGCTGCCGATTTTAATGAGTTAGTTGATGATGCGGACATCGCAGTAAGGTTTACTTAGAAAACGCGCGTGTATAATAACTGGTAATGAAATGAGTGAAATGTTTATCAACGAAATCTTACCCACTGCAAATGATCGTTGAAAGTCTATCATTCAAGACTATCTGACCATGATAGGGCAGGTATTTAACCAGTGTCTGCGTTAATTCTTAACTTGCCACCTGTAACAATTGAGAAATTTTCACTCAATAACAAATTTGTCACACGTACGTTTGTATTATCAATCGAAGGATGTAGTCGGCTAGAGTTCGTAGTTAAGCAGTCTCGATTTGCGCCGCAGAAACGTGGTGTTAAATTAAAAAAAAAAAAACTTATTCATTAGGTGTTGTTGAGCTGGTTTTTATATAGTCAAGTTATCGATGCCGTCAGCTTGCATCGGTCGGTCATTAGGTTTAATTTCACCCTTGATATTTTTATTGCTTTTCTAATAAAAATCTGACGTGTAGGACGCCATTTTTTTTTCAAGTGTTTCGATTTTCACGTCCGGGAGTTAAGTCGTTAAGTATTACGTCGAATACCTAGCTTTTTTGCTCATCATCCCGAGACCATCCTAATTAGGGCTAGTTTAATTCTCCGAAGCAACAAACTAACGAATATGAAAGCAAAACGATTCGATTTTACCATATCCAAGCTCATTTTCTCTGCGCAGTTGTACACGCATACGGTTCTGCAGAACTAACAAGACCAGAGAGCGTAAGGTGAAGGGCTTGCGCTTCTGTCGGCGAGACAATTGCACAGGGTAGCTGACACCTTCGTCCTCCTGTCATACGGCC